TTGCTTTGATGTTTGTTATATGATTTAAAATGGGGGGGTTATTGGGGTTCTTCATGGTAAAAAATAAGTATTGGTAAAGGGAAATGTGTTTGATATTTGCATGACTGAGACCTAAACCTGAAAGCTTTGTAAACTTTCCCACAGTGATTCAATAAATAAATAAATTAATTAATTAAATAAAAAATAAAAATAAATAAATAAAATGGGGGGACTGGAAAGATAGTACAGTGGGTAAGGTGGTTTCCTTGCATGCCATCTCCCAGGTTCAAATCCAAGCACAGTATATATGGTCTCCTAACCTCTGTTAAGAGTTGTCCCTGACCACTGTCCCAGAAAAAACAAAAATTGGCAGAAAGATTATAAGCTATTCCAATATACTAAAGATAAAGCATGTGGACATATCATTTAAGAATAAAATAATAATGAAATATTTTCTTAAAATTTTTGTTATGGGTTGGAGCGATAGCACAGCGGTAGGGCGTTTGCCTTGCATGCAGCCAACATGGCCGCCCCTCTCGGAGAGCCCGGCAAGCTACCAAGAGTATTCGATATGCCAGACACAGTAACAACAAAGTCTCCAATGGAGACGTTACTGGGCCTGCTCGAGCAAATCGATGATCAACGGGAGGGCCTTTACTTTACTTTACTTATTATTATCATATAGTTATTCAAACTCTAAATTAATTTTTGATGCAAATTACCAAATAGACATTACATAAAGAATTAAAGTGCATATTATTCTTATTTTTTCTGGACATTAATATGTCAAAACAAATCTTTATTTGTCAGTATCCCTCATATAGATATGTGAGACTTGAATTATTTTCTTTTTCTCTAACCATTTAGAAATGTCTAGTAAAATAGTAATTGTTTCATTTGTAATGTAGTATTTAAAATGCTCTAGTTTCAGGGACACAGCAATAGTACAGTGGGTAGGGCATTTGCCTTGCACGTGGCCAACCCAGGTTGAATCCCCGGCATCCCATATGATTCCCCAAGCACCACTAGGAGTAATTCCTGAGTGTAAAGCCAGGAGTAACCCCTGAGCATTGCTGGGTGTGACCCCAAAAAAGGAAAAATAATATGTTACAGATTCTTTGAACATCTTTTAGGATATCTGGTGTACATTAAGAGCAAGATAGTATTAGTGTGAGAGACTTCTTAATGGACGAGTCTCATTTCACTTAATTGGCATTATATGATATGCAACGATTCGCACACATTTAAAATAACCTGCAATAGACTTGTAGCATGCTGAAGGGTCTACTCAAGGCCCAGGGAGAAAATCTTTTAGAAATATCTACCATTTTTACATTACAAACATTTCTTTAAAGACCACATGCATCTGCCCACATTGGTAAACTAAGTTCCTGTTCTCTCTTAAACACAGGAGTTCCTATTGAAAACTTTCTCCATTTCACACTAAAATTAAAAAGTGCAGCCCAGACTGTTAATACTAGTGATGTCTTGTAAATTTAAGCCACATTACTCAGGCAGAAATTCCAGCTGTTAAAACATAGATAATAGAAAGCCAATGTAAGTTGTGACCAACATTCTCCATAGGGTGAAACACCAACATTACACATTCCTTGAACCTTAAACAGGATTGCTTTGGGGTCATTGATAATGTCATTGTGCCACAAGTTTTCTGGTTGGTTTACTGGTGAATTCATTCCACTTCATGGAAGAAAATTACATTACTCGCATTTTAGTATTTTATTGGATTGTGCACTAAATTAAACACTGCATTTAAGACCACAGTGAACTTTCAAATTAATGTGTGAAACTTCATTCTTGAACTTAGAGTAATTTTGAAGTTAGCCTTATCTCTGCAAAGCAAAGCAATAAAAATTGTAATCTGCCTGCCTTACTTTATCTTAAAAGTACCATCTAACCGATGATGCATTTTATTTTTTTAAATTTTTTAAAGTGTATGGGTGGTGGTCATTAGTATCTTAAAATATAATTGAGTCCAAGTAAAACAAAATCAATATCCTTTATATGATTCAGAATGGGTTGAAAACAGAGTATAAAGGTACCCTTTATGACAGAAGGAACCCTCTATGTATAGTTATTTACCTTAAATCCAAAAGATTTTAGACTGATATCTGACAGACACTGTAAGTCAGCAGATTTTAAGCTGGAAGATGAGAGAAAATTCACGTTCCAAAAATAATTCTCTGAAATCAGCAAAGAATTAATGATTGAAATTGGGAAACTGTTTAAGAGACCAATGTTAAATTGGCAGAAGAATAAGTTCTTAGCAAAGCCAGCCAGGTGTGACTCCAAGACACCCCCCAAAATTTCTAAATCCCCAGTAACATAAAAAATATTACAATAGTCTTAAAATTTAATAATTATCATAATGTATAATCTAACTTCATATTTTATTCTATTACTATATTAGCTTACTCCTGGGCTATCAGTAAACCAATGTTAATGAAATAACTGTTTCTTCTTCTTTTTTTTAAAAATACTATTGGGCTAGATTTTTTTATTAGCTTTGTTAAGGAATAATTCACAAATGTATACAATATCTAAGTATAAATTGTGGCTCTTCAAGTCTATTTTCTCCTTTGATCATGTATCTCACCTGCTTGTCTCTGTATTTTTTTGCTTTTTCTCTGCATTCCTGCTCTGGAGAAGCTTATGTTCTTTCTTGAACAGATACTTCCTCATCCTTTCCCCTCACAACTTTCTAAGCAAGTCTCATTCAATAAAACAATCTTGTTTCACACACACAAAAAAGTATAAATTGTGATTCTTTGATGAACGTAAACATTGACACGTATTTTTAAATTAAAAAATTTGGTATGTGTATTTCTTTGCTATAAAAATAAGTTTTAGTATTTTATTAAAAATTTCTTTGCAAAGTCTAATTCATTTATATGTTAAACAGAATTGTGTGTTCAGAAATAACTAAAAATTCCAGGACGAGTCTCGGTTCTTCTAAATGGTTTTCAAGTGTTAGATTTGCAAGTAACATTTTCTGTTGAAGTTGAAAACACTGATAAGTCAAATATCTGGTACCTCAGACACACACTAAATTTGCAAATCAACAGTAGCTGAAGAAGCATAGGCTACACTTAGCCTTATGAAAGTTTTCAAATTTTCTAAAATTCTGACTTATTTCACTTCATAGAACTTGGCAATTCTTTTGATCTCATAATTTATTTAATTTTTAACCTGTTTCATTTGCTTTACAGGTTTTTTTAAAAACTTTATTTAAACACTGTGGTTTACAAAGTTGTTCATAATGCAGTTGGATTGTTACGGGTATTCAGTGTTCCAAAACCCATCACACCACCAGAGTGACCATTTTATTTTGACCAGGGAAGTTCAGTCATTGTCTCCATTTTCCCAACAGCCACCCAAGCCTGACCCATTGGTATAATATATAATCAATTTAACAAAATAGTTAAATTGCTTATTACAACTAAATGACTAATGAAATTACAAAAAAATATGTTAGTGAAAGAAAATTTCTAAAAATTGTTATATCACCATGGTGTCATTAAGTCCTTATCTGGAGGTTTAGTAAACTGTGTATTGCCTGTTGAGCCTTCTGTGTTATTTTTTTTAATGAGCTTAGTTGACTTCTGTGTTACTTTTCCACCTAATTTGGTGTGCTCCTATTGGGATGTCAGTATTGTGGAATTTGGGGATCTGTAGAGCAGAACCCATTGATGATTTTACATGGTCAGCTGTAGGATGTGGGTGTGGCTTTCAGGGCTTCCAGAAGTAGTGCTCTAATACAAATAGTGTTTTCCCCTGTAATTATTTATAATATTGATTTTTTTTGGTGTGGGGATACACCCAGTGAAGCTCAAAGATTTCTCCTGGCTCTGCACTCAGTAATTACTCCTAGAGATGCTCGGGAGGCTATGTGGGATGCAGGGGATCTAACCGAAGTCTGCTGCATGCAAGGAAACTCCCTACTTCCTGTACTATCTCTCTAACCCAATATTGATTTTTACTGGCACTTAGTTCCAAAAAATTTCATTTTACCTTGTTTGTTTATAATTTACTTGATTAGTAAAGAGTTTTAAAATATAAGAACATTCAGAAAAATTTCTGTGGTTATGTGATCATAACCGGATTCATTAAAGTGGGCATTTCTCATGAAAATTATTATTAGGTACAAAGAAAGACTGAAACATTTCTTTAAAAACATCATTGGTTTACATGTATTTAAGAATTTTATTTATATAGTAGTCATTAATTAAATTATTAAATGATCATAAGCAATGATGTAAAAATATAAATGACTAGAAATATGTCTTATGAATTATTAGAAATGTTTACCATTTTATTTATAAATTGGTAGCACTGCATTATAGCACTGTCCTCCCATTGTTCACGGATTTGCTCGAGCAGGCCCAGTAATGTCTCCATTTTGAGACTTGTTACTGTGTTTGGCATATTGAATATGTCACGGGTAACTTGCCAGGCGTTGTCATGCAGGCAAGATACTCTCGGTAGCTTGCTGGGCTCTCCAAGAGGGGCAGAGGAATCGAACCCGGCTCAGCTGGGCTGGCTGCGCGCAAGGCAAATGCCCTACTGCCGTGCTATCACTGTGCTATTCCAATGCACAGTGGTATAAATTAGTAAGAATTTATAATGGTCTGGGTGGAAAAGTGACCCATTTCTGTGTTCACTGAATTTTCTTTTTTGTGATATTTTTTGGACGAATTTTCATCATTTGAAATATGTGACACATTTCAGAATAATGATTTCCGCTGGATAAAATGATTAAAAACTGATGATTTTTTTAATCACATGCACACATTTTGGAAGGAGTGAGAAACTTATTTAGATCTGTAAATCCCATGAATTTATTTTTAAAGCTTGTTTCACTTCTAAATAACTTGATATTATTCACTGGTAGCTTATTTACAATACCTATACTATAAGTAATCCTGGTTTCATGTTTTATCTAGGCAATTAAATCCTTCTTAAAGTTAGCAGATCCATAATGGTCTTTCTGGTTTTTTTCTAAGGACCCCCTGTTTCACCTGGAGTCACACAGATCTGAGAGAGGAAGGGGCAGATGTCCTTTTGATCCCAGTTCTTCCTTCATCTCCACATTGATTGGTAATTATCCTTGTCACAGGCATCAGTTGTAGTCTATTGGTTTGAAACAGATTCTTTTGGAATTTCTTTCTATGTACTTCTTTGTGATATCACTTTATTGGTCCTGGGAGCAATGATATTGCATTTCAGGTCATGCTAACCGGAACCAGTTTGACTCTAAAATACAGTGCAGCTGTGATAAACTATGTGTATAACAGTCTGAAAACACAAATTGCCATTTATATTTTGTGTAATAATTGTATAAAAATTGTTCAATGAAAATTATTGTTCACAAAATGAAAATATATATGAAAAAATTAACACATCCTAATTATTCTTATACTTAGTCTGAAACTTTAGAAGAATTTTACTCTTCTCTTCTTGGACCCTGTATAATCCATAGAAGTTTTAGTTCATATATTAATAGCTACATCAGGGTGTTAGAATAATCTGTCTCAAATCTAGATTTCAATTTAGTTCAATCTAACTTTGATTAGGTAACTGGGAACCTTACTAGACACGATTTTAAAATGGAACACTTGTCAAATTCTTCTAGCTCTGTAGTGGTATAAAGAGAGATCAGTGAGTTAACCAGTATAAAACTGAAGAAAGCAATTCCTGACATAAAAGATAGCTATTATTGGGGCTGAAGCGATAGCACAGCAGGTAGGGCATTTGCCTTGCACACGGCCGACCCAGGTTGGATTCCCAGCATACCATATGGTCCACCGAGCACCCCCAGGAGTAATTCCTGAGTGCAGAGCCAGTAGTAACCCCTGTGCATTGTCAAGTGTGACACAAAAAGAAAAAAAAAGATAGCTACTGTTTAAACTCATCAGTATACTCAGTGTTGAGAGTTATGATACAGGAATGGCATATATATGCAAGTTTCATCTTTTACACTTAGAGTAATATACCTTCATTGGGTTATCCTTTTGAAGATGTAAATAGAAAGTGTAACATGTAGACTTCCTATTCTCAATAAATTACAAAAATTTACCACTCTCCTTTGATGATAAATCAACATATATAAATTTGGAATTAAAGTTAGTACAGATAATGTCTGTGCATTATAGAGATTATATTATTTCCTGGACTTTTTGCTTTTGAGCATATGTACAGCTGATTTTGAAGAGTTTTGCATTCAGTTTTCTAATTCCCATTTCTGTTCTGGTATTCAGATGAAATAAATAAAATTTTGTGTGTATAGCACCCAAAAGGAGAGAGAAAGAACAAAAGGGAATTCTCTGCCACAGAGACAAGGTGGGATGGGGGGATGAGGGTGGGAGGGATACTGGGACCCGTGGTGATGGAAAATGGGCACTGGTGGAGGGATGGGTACTTGATAATTGTATAACGAAACCAAAGCACAAAAGTTTGTAAGTCTATAACTGTACCTCATGGTGTTTCACTAAAAAAAAAAATTGTGTGTATATATATGTGTGTGTGTGTGTGTATTGGGGTATATTTACAGAGAAAAGTACTATGTTCTGTTAAATAAGAAAGGTTTTGTTTACTTTACCTTCAGCATTTAGAACAAATGTAGAGGAGAATTTGATAATTTGGTTTACTTTTTCAGGATCTGGAATAAAAAAAGATGGAATTTAATTTTCAAAAAAAATTTAAAGAAAAATATTGCTGTAAGAGAACCTAAATTTCTCTACTAATCCTTGTGTTTGTGTGCATGGGTGTGTATATGAGTGTATAGGTGGATAACATTTTAAATAGAATAGACATGTTTAAGTCGTTTTAGGAATCAAAGCTTAGAAATGGCACTTCTTGTAAAGAGCAGATTAATAAAACTCAGAAAAATCCTGGTAAAATAGCAGCACTTGAATTAAAATATATGATTGGTAAAAAGGTAAAGGTAAAGGCCCTCCCGTTGATCGTCGATTTGCTCGAGCGGGCCCAGTAACGTCTCCATTGGAGACTTTGTTGTTACTGTGTCTGGCATATCGAATACTCTCGGTAGCTTGCCGGGCTCTCCGAGAGGGGCGGAGGAATCGAACTCGGGTCGGCCATGTTGGCCGCTTGTAAGGCGAACGCCCTACCCACTGTGATATGATTGGTAGGTTTACTTAATTTCCCTGTAGTGTTTTTAGTGCTTATTGTAACTTCTTAGATTTAATATTTGATAATATCCAGAATAAATTTCTTCTCATATTTTTTACACAGACTACAAATATTGACTGAATGTAATACTTCCATTCCTAAACAAACAAAAATAAATTTTGGAAGTATTTATAAATATAAATGGTATTGAAAGATGAACATGTTTGCCACTCAAAGCCTCTTTTACAGACCACAACACTCAAAAGGAGAGAGAGAACACAAGGGATTTCCTTGCCACAGAGGCAGGGTGAGATGGGAGGGATGGGGGTGGGAGGGATATTATCCATGGTGGTGGAAAATGGGCACTGGTGCAGGGATGGGTATTTGATCATTGTATAATAGAAACTGAAGCACAAAAAATTGTAAATCTACAACTGTACCTCATGGTGTTTCACTAAAATTAAAAAATAAATAAATAAAAAATAAATAAAAATAAAAATTACATAGGAAACAATATTTTCAGAGTAAAATACTAAGTTTATTAGTAGAGAGCTAGCACTATTTTGAATCTTTTATTTAAATTGTTAAAAGTAATATCTTCAGTCTGCAGCTCACCATTCAGCCTCCTAGGTACTTGTTTATGAATGAAACTAGGAATTTAAAACTAAACTTTTAAAGAGGCGAAATATTACTGGAGGGATATTTCCAAGTGTGTTTCATTGAACTTCCAAATTGAATTACTCTAAAAATATTAAAGTGCTTGCCATCTGGGTGACTATTTTGCTTATTCAGAAGAGAAATCAAATCATAAGAGCCCTCCAAGCTAAACACAAAAGTTATAGAATAATCCCTCCAAAGAGAAGAAATGAAAATATAATTCTTCACATTCACCCACTAGCTTTCATCCCAAAAGTACCTTTGAGACATCATTGACTCACTGTGGATATGTGGCAGCCACTGGGATGGAAACCTGATAACCTATATGTGTAGCTATTCTTTAAAATAGAGGAAATAGAAATAATTCACTCAATTGAAAAAGCAACAGGAATTTGGGGTGGAAAAATGGAGCTACCTGAAGTGGAATTTGACAGGCTCAGTGTAGCTTACTCTGACAGGGTAAGAGTGCATTCATGTGGTAGTTTATGACCACATATGTGCTCTGCCAATGTGCTAGGACAAGGAGGTATTAAAAAAGAGAAAATGGTCATTTTTATAAGACTATTGCTTCTCCTTTGTTCCTATTATAGGTTACAACCTTTAATGTATTTTCACAGTAAGATGTAATTTCATGATTTAGAAATATTAAAAAACACAAAGTTGTAGCAATACTCACAAAACCAATGAGGGACCCCAAGGGGGGGTGGATCTTGCTTATAAATGTGAGAGAATGTCTTCCAATTACTTTGAATATAATTTTTATTTTTGTTAATTCAAATTTACTTAGTTTAAGATCACGTGGATTAAAAGTATACTGAAAATCTAAAGAATAAGAATTAAATGCAAGGGGAAAGGCAGTAAACATTTTTATTAAATTTGTAATGTGATTAGGAATAATCTGTCAGTAAGTTATGATTCTAAAAGAAAATAGGATTTAAAGAGTAATATAAACTCCTTATTTATATTAAGTATAATCATAAAACAATCAATTAAACCATATTTAATCAGTCTTGCTCTTGAAATGCCACTTTATTTTAACATAATACATCTTGACCAGCTTATGTGTTTCTATCTCACTTGTAATATTTCAACATGTCTATCTAAATGCCCTCCATATTTAAGCTGGCTTTAAGTAACTAATGAATGTAAGACATTACAGCTTAGTTTTATTTTTAATTTCAAATATTTTTTGGTTGGCAAACCACAATAAGCAGCTCCCAGAAGTTACTTGTGGCTCAAGGATCACTTACTGTCACTGGGGGACAATGTGGTCCCTGGGCTCAAGTCCAGGGTTTTTACGTGTAAAGCCTGAATTCTAACCCTATCTTTGTAAAAGTTTGTGAAAACAACAAATTATTTAATGAATTTCTATATTGTATGTCTGATCCTTAGTATATAACTTGCTATTTAATTATTACATTTTGTGACTGAACCAAGTCAATATTAATGAATTTTTCATCATGTTATTTTGACCAGAAAGGCAAAATTATACACTGGTGATTTTTATCATTTATTTTTGATGGAATATTGTAATTTTACTCTCCTTATTAAATTACCATCACTAACTTAAGATTTTGCCCTATCTTTCATCCTCTTAAATCTATTGTCATTTCTTTTAACATTTCTTTGTGTCACAAACTTGTATTACCTGTTCTAGGTGTAACTTAATGCTTACCTAAAATGCCTTAGGTATGCTAATGTACATGCTATCCATTACTAATATTTGAAAGAAAGTCACTTTGGTTTGTCATGTAATTTTTCACACTTTGAAAGTTTGTGCTTTATCTGGAGATCTTTTTTACTGTGCTTCCCAAATCAGCAATAAAAAGGAGAAATACTTGATTATCACATGAGGCATAGAAAACTAATGTGATATTTTTTCTTAATTTAGTAATTAAAATATGTATTTCTTAAATAGTAAGAACTCATACAGATTCACAGATCATTCAAAAATAAAGCTCTTGCTGGATTCCATAAAATAGGACTGTAAAATAGTTTAAATTCAACTTTAATTATGCATTAAACTTACAATTATTTGTAATGAGTAAGACTACTATAAATATTGCCAAAAGTCAAAGGAAAATTCTTATTACCTTTCATTATCAGTTTAGATTTTGAGGGTTGAAAGTAATGGGCGATAAAAAGGGCCATCCTTCATTGAATTAAAATAATAAATAACCTAGGATTCTTGAAGAGTAAAAGGTTAAGGCATCCTTTTATTCATATAAGTACTATATATATTTATCTTTATTTTAATAATTTTTGCCCCGGAGTGGTTTTATGAAGTCATTTTTTTCTTTATTTCATTTCATAGATTTTTATTTAAATATCTACCTGAACTATCTAATATGTTCATTTGTTAATTCAATGAACTATTCACTAATTGATTATTGATTATATTAAGTATACCACACATTGTTCACAATATAGGGGAACAATAAATTTATAAGACACTTTAAAAAAGGCTTCTTTCTAGTGGAGTTAATGAAATACACAGGGAGGCAATTAAGCTATAGTTGGATGATCAAAATAGACACGAAGACTATGATGGTACTCTGAAACATGACAATAATAAGTTTATTTACAGAAGGTTTATGGAGAGAAAGGACCATTGAATTAACCCAGTCACTAAAATTGATGGATATATAGAAGGTGGAACGGATGCACAAAATTTTAGGCAATCAGCAGTGGGAAAAAAATGGGTAAAGACTACATAAATTACTTGGAAATCTGTCTGAAACCATGCGGAGCTCAACAACATTGTCATGGTCCAAGAGAAGAGTTGGGACAAGGGTTTTAGTTTCTTAAGATTTCCAGTGCAGCTCTGTTTTCACAATTCTGTTATCTGTACATAGAGACTATTGTTGACCATGACAATGATAAGTTACATTCACCTGTTAAAATATCCTGCAGATGTGCTTTATTTCTTTAAATTATAGCCACATTGGCCATCTGAAATCACCATAAATCACTTAACATCAGAAGCTAATTCTATTAACAATGAAAATAATATAGAGCATTAAAATTAAGCTGATTATTTGTATTCATAATATTAAAACACATTGTTAACCAGATAAATATGCAACTAAGATAAAAACATGCATCAAATGACTTATTTCCTTAGGAATAGGAAATTAATAAGTTAAAAGGCTATAATTTTATGATTAAGCATTTTGTTATTTATAAGGAAAATATAATGTTATTATATATTATACATTATAGTGTTATTTATAATGAAAATTTCAATGAAAATAAGATTCATCCAGATATTATTTGTGTACACTGTCAAATAATAAAGTATCGAGTAACGTATTTTCTCCAGTTACACCAAATGATTATGACTTTAAATATTTAGAACAGAAATTATGTACTTTCTATAAATATGTAAAACAAAAAATGACATTGATGATTTCTGTTCATATAACCACTGTTAAGTACACTTTTGCCTAGAGCTTAATCTAATCTAATCTATTATTTTGAATTAATGGATATCTTTATATTTTATATACAAATAATTTGCTTAATATAATTTTTATATAGTACAATGAATCGATTTTATTCTTCACACTAATATGATAGAAGAAGAGTCTGTGCTGAGGAAAACATAATATTTCCAACAGAAACACATTTGATTAATTTCACATGGTTTATAGAACTTATGCCTGTATAACATACTTTGAAGTTTATTTCACACGGTTTTTATTGTGTTATTTGAACTGTTCACAGAGGATTTTCTTTTATATAAATACAAAAAGGGAAATTGGGTAATATCAGTAATATCTATCTCTTTGTGTTGATAACCAGCCTGACTATGGATTTATTTGTAATTATTGGGGTGCCACCTACTGGCTCTCAGGGGTACTTGTTCGGTAAATTTATGGCATTAAAGAAAACGAACTTTGGGGGAATGTTCCGAACATCCAACCTACCTTATGTTAGAAAAGTAAATTGTGTTAAATATAATTTTACAAAATTCTCTTTATATTTTATATGGAATATATAATAAAGTATTAAAATTTCAAAACAAAAATTAGAAAAACTCATTCTGGTTTTTAGTAGTTAATTAGTTCTTTTATGGACAAACTGATTCATTTATGTCATAGAATTGATCCCTGAGGACTCTCCATTCAGTCCAATCTTCATCTCCAAAAAAAAAAAGAGACAGACTTGATAAAAGGATTAAATTTAGACCTGTATATAATTTTTATTGATTAACCGATTGTTATTCTTCTACTTTAAATTTGTCTCTCTTCTCTCACTGTCCTTTCTTTTTCTTGCCTTTTACTAATCTTTTTTATATTGCATTATAAATACTATTTAAAAGTGAATTCATATGATAGTATTGTTTTATTGTCTGTTTTCTGTTAACAATCCATATGAATTTTTATGAGAAAAAATAAGGAAAGAAAAGAAGAGAAGTTTCATGTATTTGTCTTTTGTTTTTATTATTGTTTCTAAGGCACAGTGATTTGCAGAGTTGTTCAGAATAGTTTCAGAAGTACAGGTTTCAATGCTAATCCATCACTAGTTTCAACTACTCCACCTTTGCCCCTAAGTTTTCTCCTAATCCCCAGCCTGTCTTCTTAACAGCCATACAAGTTTAGATATTGTAATTTTGGTCTCCTAATTAGACTGTTATTGGCTTGTGGTTTAGATATATACAAATATATACAAATACACCACTTCTACACCACTGGTGTGCCTTATATCCCTGCCCCCTGCCCTGGTTACCTGCTCTCTGCCTTTCTTACTTCCCCTTGATTTCTTTCCTCATTTCAATAATCTTGTTAGCTGACGGATGGCTGGAGCGATAGCACAGCGGTAGGGCGTTTGCCTTGCACGCAGCCAGCATGGCCAATTCGAGTTCGATTCCTCCGCCCTTCTCGGAGAGCCCGGCAAGCTACCGAGAGTATCCCGCCCGCACGGCAGAGCCTGGCAAGCTCCCCGTGACGTATTCGATATGCCAGACACAGTAACAACAAAGTCTCCAATGGAGACGTTACTGGGCCCGCTCGAGCAAATCGATGATCAACGGGAGGGCCTTTACCTTTACCTTTACCTTATTTCAATAATCTAGGATCCAGGGTAATCTAGGCATCCCCTATTTGATACCTCACATTCCCTCCCTTATTCTGTTATTCTGCTGACCAAAGGTAATGAAAAATAGTTTCTTATAGCTTCATTTATAAAAACATTATTTTCTGTAACTTTTTTGTTCAATTTATATCTCATTTTTCTATTTCTAAATCTGGTCTTACGAAGCAATCATTTTCACTAATTGAAAAATTGAATCAGTTAACTCAAGTTGAAAAAAAGTTCTTTACAATGTGTTCTATTAAGAACTCAACGGTTTTCTCTAATTTTACAACTGTAATAAGTATTTACTAAAGTTTTTTAAAAATTACCTTACTCTTTAATATTGAAAGAATTTTTAATGTAAATGTAACATCTGTAAATATGATCTCAAGTTTTAAAATTCTGTTTACATTTTTAAAAGTTTTATGTAACTCTTAAAATTTAAATTTCAAAACTGCTTACTTCATTAAATGTATTCAATTGAAAATAATGAACTTTAAGTCTCTTAAATTTCAGAGCACATTTAAATACCATGTGTACACACACATATGCCTATACCTCAAATTTGGCAAAAACAATAGTGCATTCAGTATATCATCATCACTATATTTTTCTTAAAACTAACCAGAATTAATTGATACTAATTAGGAAAATTACTTTACCACCCGTAATTGAAGTTGCCTTTTCCATTGGTTTGCTGCTAACATTTGAATTTTGGCCAAAGAACTTTCTCCTTGGGCTAGCCCCTAGAGCAATATGTACTCAGGGAGTGCTGCCACCCCTGAAGAACACACTATTTCTGTATCATCCACAAAAAATGACTCCAGTTCCTTACTCTATGCTGCACAGGATCAGTTTTTCAGGAGTTCTAGTCATTTCCTCTATTACCTTTCGATATTTTAGCATTCTTTTTCTTTTTTTTTATAAACTGTTGTAATGTCTTTCTTTTGGACTTCAAAAACACATTACCATTTTTCAAGAGCCTGCATAGTTTAGTCATTTCTTGGTCTGACTTATGTCTGTAACCATCACCACATATTGCAACTTACTTTAGTGGCATTCTGATTACTGCCTGATTAAATTATGAAATTTTATATCATTCAAATCTAACGAAGCCACAAACTCACAAATTAAATGACGACTAATTGGATTACTTACAACTTCGTCAGACTTTGTGGTTCCCACATTCACAATACATTTAATGGGAACAGTTTCTTGTTATAAGAAGGATTAGGGATTGGAGTTATAGTACATTAGGTAGGGTACTTGCCTTGCATATGACTGATCTGGGTTCGATCCCCAGCACAGATAGCGTTCCCGAATTCCTCCAGGAGTGATGCACAGAGTTAGCACAGTGCCAGGAGTATGTCCTCGAACACGGCTTGAAATGGCCCCCAAACAAATAAAAAAAAGTTAAAAACACTGGGGTTGTCACATATATAATACTTATAACAATACAATAATAATAACAATGCCTTGATGCTTAGCATTAAGAAGAAACAACAAAATAAGATGAATCCAGGCTATTTGTTAATACTCAGATAGGTCTTAGTATATTCTATCTACTCTAAGTTTTTTTTTTTTAATGTTTAATTACCCTTGTGTGCTTTGCTTATTTGTATGTGAAGAAACTGGAATACAGAGAGATTAGGTAACTTACCCTGTGTTTACCAAGCTAGTGCATGTAAAGTCAGGATTGAAGTCCTAGTTATCTGACTATAACATATTTGCCCATAACAATAATGTTTCCTAAGGTCATAAGCACAGTAAATTTATAGTTATGGTGGATAGTTGTCTTCTAAATCAGAAACAACTACTGACTTATTTTGAACAATTTCCTCGAAGGTAGTGAATTGTTTACTGGGCTCTATAGTGACTACTGGAGCAGAGATGCTGCGATCTTCCGGAGCATGGGACGACTGGCGCATATTCGCACTGAGCATGACGATGAGCGCTTGTTGAAAGGTAAGATTGAGGGAAGAAAAGTATGAATCTTAGATACAAGTCTAGAACTCATAGAAAATTTCCCAATTGAATAAAAAGTATAACAGTAACATAATTTATAAATTCTGCAGATTCAGAATTTTTATTTCCATTTTGATTGCCTTATTATAAAGCTTACATTCATAAAAATTATTAAATATTAGGCTGGGGGTGACATTGATAATACAGTGCGTAGGGCACTTGCCTTGATAATACTAACCCAGGTTAAATCCCTGACACTCTTTATTGTTTTCTGAACTTGACGGGAATGATCCCTGAGCACAGAGCCAAGAGCAAACCCTGAGCTCCTCTTGGTGTGGCCCATAAAACAAAGTCACAAAAAGTTGGACTGGAGAAATAGCTCAATGGCTGAGCATACGTTTTACATGTTAGAGGCCAGACTTCAACCCTGGCATCACATAGTTCTCTGTGCCCTGCAAGGGGTTATCATCTCTGGGCATGCATGACTCCTCCTAAAAAAAATTGAGAATATTGTGACTGGGGTTGGGGTGAGGAGAGATAGGGAAGTAATTTGGACCACTTGCAGCTGTACTCAAAGCGTAATCCTGCCTCTGTGCGCAAGAATCATTTCTGGGGGTGCTTAAAGGATCACCTATCATGTTTGAGGGTCAAACCAGATTTTTGCCTTATGCAAGCCCAGTGTTGTAATACCTAAACTGTCTTTATGCACTGTAGCGCTGTCCCCCCATTTTTCATCGATTTGCTTGAACGGGCACCAGTAACATCTCCATTGTGAGACTTGTTAGTTTTTGCCATATCAAATACACCACAGGGAACTTGCCAGGCTCTGCCATGCAGGCAGGATACTCTCAGTAGCTTGCCAGGATCTCTGAGAGGGACGGAGGAATCGAAACCGGGTGGGCCACGTGCAAGGCAAACCCCCTACCTGCTGTGTCTTTATAGTCTCTAAAAATTATCTTAAAAGTAAATATTTATATAAATAAATATATATATGTATATAAGAGTAGAACTCTCATTTTGTCACAGATATTATATATATTTCTCTTATTAGCTATTATAATTTATTTTTGGATGAATTCATTATTTTCCTGTACTTGTTTCAATAAGATAACGTTGAACATTATAGACAAGTAAAATGATCAAAACCATAGTTATTGTTCACTGATATAGACTTCTGTAAGCAGTACTAAGAATATTGGTATACTGGCATATCTAGAGACAAAAGTCTTGGAAGTGAGCATTTTCATCATTTAGTCCTATTTATAAACCTTTAGCACACATAATGATTATTGGCAGCATGTTGTTGAAGTATTTGACATACCAAATCAATAAAAATCATTAAATAGCATTCCTTAAATTATAAATACGAAGAAGACTTCAAATAAATTTTGTACTTAAATTGGTCTTCTATGAACAAGACTGGTAGATAATTTATGAATTGTAAATTAGTATGTATTAATAAGCTATATATATAATCAGTGTGTAATGCCCTTATGAGTTTGTGAGAACAAATAAATGGTAATTGTTATCATAGTGACCCAAATATGTTCTCTGAATATATTTAAAGTCTAAAATAAATGTATAATACTGTTTTTGCTTTAAGTTCTTATTTTCTATTTATTTTTCTCCTACTACTTTAAAAACTGCTAACTTATAAAATAAATGGATATAGCTACATGATTTTAATGTTTAGTACAAAATTTAAAGTAAAGTGTTTCCTCACATGATTACTTAAACTTAAGAATATGTGATACCATATGATATATAATTATTATTGGAATGTAAATTTCATTCTATTTTTACTTTCATAGAACCAAAATTTGTGGGTTCATATATGATCCCTGACAATGAAGATAGAGATGACAACAAAGTGTATTTCTTTTTTACTGAGAAGGCTCTGGAGGCAGAAAACAATGCCCACGCAATTTACACCCGAGTTGGGCGACTTTGTGTGGTAAGGATTACAATTATTTACAGTGTATTTGCTTATATCATAATTTATTTATTGACATATCTTTGGAATTTTAGTAGGCTTTTTTAAAGTATTTATGGTATTGTTTTGGTTTCTAAGAGTGATTTTTACATAACTAATCCTTATACTCCATAATTGTGAAAGTTTTATCTTAAGTAGCTTTGCATTTTATATGACATTTTACTGTTTTCATAGCCATGCTGAAATAAAGTTTAAAATTAAACTGTATTTCTTGCCATGCAGAAGTTTAAAAAGTTTACTTTCCATTTAAAAAGTTTATATAATCAGATTGTTTCTTTAGTTTATAGTCTTAGTAATTTATAAAAGCATTTCAATATTCAGTAGGTCACTTTGTAGCAATAATGTCTGTAGATTAACAGATATTTAGGTAGGTTATTTGAAAACATACAGAACCACCGAAGTATATACTGAGAGAATTATGATAATGGTGAAAAGGTAAGTCATTTTTATTGAGGAATAAATCTCAGAAGATATGTATATAGTACATATATGTATATATTACTATGCATGTATGTATATGCACATATGTATGAATTGTATATATATAGTAAAAAGAAGGAGTGTATATATGCCTTTATATTTATTAGTTAAAGATGCTATTTCCCCCAATTATGATATATAGGGACCATTCCTTAAAAATATGACTAATAGTAAAGTTGTTCCCCTCCCTTCTACCCTTTAACCCTTCCCCTTTGTAAGCTCAATTATATGGGGCAACTGTCAGGGTCAGTCACATTGACTAAGTTTTTATTCCCTTACTATGTTTTTGTATACTTCACAAATGTGAGATCATTCTATATTTGTCCCTTAGCAAAATGCAAGATATGTTTTCTTATAGCTTAATAGTGCAAATATACCAATTTCTATATATGATCATCTGTTCTTGGATGTGTGGGTTGTTTCCAGATCTTGGCTACTAAGCAAATGTCTTTTCAAAATTCTGTTTTGAGATCTTGCAGTAAATAACAAAAAGTGGAATTTCTGGGTCATACAAAAGACCAATTATTAGTTTCTAACAAGTTTTACTACTGTTTTTCCATAGGCGTTCAACTAGATTACATTCCCACCAACAGTGGAAAAAGGGTTCCTTTTCCCACATACCCCTACCAGGCATATTTTTTTTTAATTTAATTTAATTTAATTTTTGTTTGTTTGTTTATATATATATTTTATTTCAATAAAAATAGTTCACAGTAGTATTACAGATAATATTCAAACACCAGTCCCACCACTGAACAACTTCCTACCACAATAAGAGGGAAATGTGTGAAGGTTGTTGTATTTTATCCTGGAGACATTTAAACCCGAATATAAGAGAATACGAGCAAGCATGTTAAAACCAAACAAATGTGTGCCACTTTTAAGTAAGTAAGTGAAATAGCAGTCCAGGAAATTCTGTGTCGCTCTCTTCCGGGAGCTTTATTTATAGTCTCTGGCTGGGTCTTGGTCATTGATGAGGTTACATGGCAGGTGGGATCAGGGCGAGGCACGGCAGTTTGTGGGTGTGACTGCCAAACTCCTAGAAAACTGGGGAGCTGGAGGGAGGAGTTCCTATCCAAGCAGGCTTGGAGATCTCAGTCACGGGTTCCCACATAACTGGATTTTTCTGCTGGTCCTCTCTAGAGTGAGGTTCATCTCCTCTGGGTGAGGCTTGTCTGAGCATGTGTAGAGTGCCTTTGAGCATAGCTGCAGTTGGATTCCGGAGTTTTTTGGCTGCCAGGGTTCTGCTTGGGGCAAGGAGGTAAACTCAACCTGCTCCCCTCCAAGGGGCCCAGGTGAAGACAGCCTGGCGCAGGGTCAGGACATTCTGCCCCAGGCATGGTTTTTTATACTCTTTTTGATGTATGGCAATCTCTCTGGTGCGAGCTGAAATTTCACTGTTATTTTGATTTGTAATTTCCTCGCACTGTAGCACTGTCCTCTCGTTGTTCATCAATTTGCTCGAGTGGGCCCAGTAAAGTCTCCGTTGTGAGACTTGTTGTTACTGCGTTTGGCATATGAATACGTCACGAGTAGCTTGCCACTCTCAGTAGCTTGCCGGACTCTCTGAGAGGGACGGAGGAATAGAACCCGGATTGGCCGGTGCAAGGCAAAAGACCTACCGCTGTGCTGTAATCTCCTAATAAGTGATAAAGAGAACTCTTTAAGTATGTCTATTGGCCATTTGTTGTTTTCTTTGAGGATGTGTCTGTTTAGAAACGGTCCCCATATTTTTAAGGGGTTGGTTGTTGTTTGATTTTATTAAGTTTGCAAGTCTATTATACATCTCCAAGATTATCCCTTTGCCAGATGTGAAGCAAGAAAACATATTCACCCAGTCAGCAAGTTGTCTTTTTATTCTAGTCATCATTTATTTTGATTTACAGAAGCTTCTTAATTTGATGTAACTCCATTTGTTTACATGCTTCTGTTGTCTTCACCAATGGCACTGAGTTATTGAAAATACTGATGGAGTCAATATTATTCAAGTTCTGTCTGTGTTTTACTTGATCTTTTTTTTTTATTTGGGTCTAACTTCAATGTCTTTAATTCACTAAGAAGTAACTTTTTTGTATGAGGTTAAAATAAGAACCCGGATTCTCTTTTTGGGGTGGAAGGCAGTGTTTCCTAACACTTTATATTGAAGTTTTCCTTGCTTTACTCTATGCATGCAATTCCTTCACTGACAATTAGCTGTTCTTATCAATACCTGAGGATCACGGTCAAGGTTCTCAATTCTTTTACATGGAGAGAGATGCTTTTCAGTACCATACAACTTTTATTGTTATAGTTTCATAACTATATGAATTTATTAATTTTTTGTGGGGAGGGTTTGGAGCCACACCCAGGAGTGCTCAGAGATTACTTCTGGCATGCTAAGGAGACTGTATGGGATGCAAGGGATTGACTTCTGGTTCATTGTGTAAAATACAATCACCCCGTGCTATGCTATTGCTTCAGCCCCCTTATAAGGTAATTTAAAGGTGGCAAGAGATGTCTCTCTCATCTTCCTTTTCCTTATGAATGCTTTGGCTGTTCAGGAGATTATTACTCTATATGAATTTCATCAACATTTGGGCCAGGTCTTTAAATAATTTGCATTGAAATTTTTATGGGATTATATTGCTTCCATATAGTACTTTGGATAAAATGATCATTTTTAACAATCTTCATCCTTCTAATCCATGTATAGGCAGTGTGTTTCCTGTCCTTATTATCTACAGTTTCTTTAAATATTTACAGTTTTCTTTTACTTTTTCACTTCTTTGTTAAGTTGACTCCTAGGTACTTGAATTTTGGGGGTGCAATTACAAATGAGATTTAAAAAAATTCTCTTTGACTTTATTCTTTGTGTTTAGAAATGCCATTAGTTTCAGTGTATTGATTTTATAGTCTCCCAACTCACTCTAAAGATTAACTGATAATAGGAGGGTTTTTTTGTTTTATTTTGTTTTGTTTTGTTTTAGTTAAGTTCTTAGGGCAGGGGTTGGGAAACATTTTTTCTGCCAAGGGCCATTTGAATATTTATAATATCATTTGTGGACCAAATAGTGAGTCAACATGGAGATTAAGTATTAGATAAAGGGCCAGACCACATGATTTTATAGCCGGTATTGCTCACAGATCAGGTATTCCTCATCCATGATTTTGAGTTTTCCGGGTATAATATTATGTCACTGTATCACTGTCTGGGCTGGAGCGATAGAACAGTGGTAGGGCGTTTGCCTTGCATGCAGTCAGCCCCACCAAGCCGTGTTCAATTTCTCCACCCCCCTCGAGAGCCTGGCAAGCTACCAAGAGTATCTCGTGCACAAGGCAAAGACTAGCAAGTTACCCGTGACGTATTCAATATGCCAAACACAGTAAAAACAAGTCTCAAAATGAAGATGTTACAGGGCCCACTAGAGCAAATCGATGAAAAAATAGAGGAGAGTGACAGTGATCACTGTCACCACCCTCCCATTGATCCTTGAATTATTCCAGCAGGCGCTAGTAACATCTCTATTTCTCCCAGCACTGAGATTTTAACAGCCTCTTCTTTTTCTTTTTCTCACAACATTTGGAGGCTCTTTCAGGGTCAGGGAAATGAGACCTGTTGTTGTTACTGTATTTGGCATATTGAATATACCACGGGGAGCTTTCCAGGCTCTGCCTGCGTGGGCGGGATACTCTCGGTAGCTTGCCGGGCTCTTCGAGAGGCATATATTTATATATTTCTTTCTATGATTCATTGCCTACTGTCTGAACCCCATCAGATATGGGTTAGTGGTTGTGGAAAATGGGTAGGAAGTGTCTTATAATGTGTCCTGAAAGTGGCCTGGAGCATAGTAGTGGAAGTCGGCTGCCGGGACTGGGTCCCTGGGGGTGGGGAGAGTTCTCACCCACCCCACAGCCTGGTACTGAGTTCCAGATGATATTATGTCATCCGCAAAAATGGTAGTTTGATTTCTAAAATCATTTCTTAAAATAATAACAATAGTTGCCATGACACAAAGGCCATTATTTAGGAGAGAATATTGGAAAGTCAGAATGTGAAAATTTAAAAAAATATTTTATAAATTTAGAAGTCTGATTAATTTTTATTGAGTACAATAGCTTACAATGCTATAAAATCAGTGTTATAGTTGCAGAATTACTACACCAATCTCTTCACCAGTGTTTCAAAAGTCTTTCGCCATTAACTCATAGACCATCTCTCCCACCCAAGCCTGCTCAGTTCCCAGTCATTATAATTTTAAATAGTAACATATAAGAATTATATTAAATTTACACATCAGACGAAAAGTCTAATTCTTCATTTTTATGTCTAATAGTACAAAATCTATTGCTGGTAAAAAAAAAACTATTAGTAATCTATTTACCTGTTCTTTATCTTTTACAGAATGATGTAGGTGGACAAAGAATACTGGTGAATAAGTGGAGCACTTTTCTAAAAGCGAGATTGGTTTGCTCTGTACCAGGAATGAATGGAATTGACACGTATTTTGATGAATTAGGTAAATATTATTGACAGTCACGGTCCTCCTGTTGTTCATCGATTTGCTTAAGCGGGCCCAGTAATGTCTCCATCGTAAGACTTGTTGTTACTGTGTTTGGCATATTGAATACGTCACGGGTAGCTTGCCAGACTTTGCCATACGGGCGAGATACTCTCGGTAGCTTGCCGGGCTCTCCGAGAGGGGGGAGGAATCGAACTCAGGTCAGCCATGTCGTCTGCGGGCAAGGCAAACGCCCTACCACTGCGCTATTGCTCCAGCCTAGGTAAATATTATTAAGAGAATAAAATTTTCCTCTTTGATCTATATTCTCTAGAAGCGTTGTAAGCTTCAGTACTTACAAAAGGAGTTGTCTAAAATACTTGATTTCTACTGAGTTAAAATGAGTTCCTATTCTTTTCATTTGGCCAGATTAACTTCCTTAGGGCCAAAGAATAATACAGTGTCAGAAAGAAGTCCCTGTCCTTAGTTTGTAGTTGTTGCCTTTGATTCTTTCCTTGAGGGTCAGCCAGAAACCACCCTATCCAGCCAAGTCTTAGTCATGGCTAGACTGAATATGGATTTTCATCTGAAATTCTCTAGTGGGCTCTAAGATAATTTATGTTGATATATTCTCTTGACCTGCAAAGAAATTTAAAATTACCAAGTATTGCAATTTTTTTCCCTAGAGGATGTTTTTTTGCTGCATACCAGAGATCATAAGAACCCAGTGATATTTGGACTCTTTAACACTACCAGGTGAGAAATGTATGCCATCATTATAGACATTAGAAAGCAAAAGATTTCACTTCTTCATTGTGTTATAACTTAGAAATATTTGGCTTCTTGGCCTTCTAACTTTCCATGTTTCATAAGTCACAAATTTATCTTCATTCTCCAGTATTTTCACTTGTACTTTCATTTTTAAAGTCATATTTTTTTAAACCCAGGTCTTTGTTCACTTTTATTTGAGATTTGCTCAGTGTCTTTCTGTGGTAAGTATGCTTGTCTCTTCTTCCTCTAAACTACAACAGAATTGTTTCTGAAACTATTTATAGCCAGGAAGCAGGTGATCAAATAAGAACTAAATAAACAGGTACGGAAACCTCCCCGCACTTCAGGCTGTCAAGTTTCACCACTGTTTCATTCTTTGCTCCAACTCTGGCTTGGTTCACAGGCCCTGGTTTGGTTTGCTGGGGCTAATGATAGATTAACCATGATGCCTCAGCAAATCCTTTGAAATTAGAAAAACTGGCAAGCATTCATTCTTTGGCCCCTCCTGTTGTGTTCTTGGGAGACTCACTGAGCTCTGCTCAGGCCGTTATTCTGCCCCTAAGGTCAGTAGTCCATGATTGGGGGGACTCAGGGAAACTTATGGGGTCCTGGGGTTGGATTAATGTCAGCTGTGTCCAAGGAAGCACCTTACCTGCTCCAGCATGTCTGCACTCTGTATATTCAGATTTCCGTTAGTTTTGTAAAAGCATTAAGGAAAACAATTTCAGGAAGTATCAAGTTAGCAGAACATCCTAGGCAAGTTTCTTTAATAGGGTGGATAGAGACGGTATACAGACTGTACTATGCATAGAAAGACATTTGCTGGTTCTTTGAGATGTACAGAGGCCCCTGAATTAAATGGTGGGAACACAAGAGATTCACCAACATCTGTCCCCATCTCAGTAGGCAATTCGACTTAACTGTGATTACTAGTAATAAAGGGAAGTCACATACCTGGGATCCACTTACCTCAATTCAGCAGTAGTAGTGGGTAGAAAAAGAAAGATCAAACTTTTGCTTGGAAGCAGTAAAATTCCAACAATTTATATTGACCAGAATGCTCAACACCATTGAGATCTCTCCAAAATGCCAAGCAAGGCCACAAAATGGCCAGTCTAGTTTACTGCCTGTTAGCTTCATGTATATCTCCATTCTAGGGTTGGTCTCCACCTGCTGCGTTTCATTTATTTAATTATATATTGTTGTTTATGGGCACAACTGGCAGTTCTTAATGCTTCACTCCTGGTGGTGCTGGGTCCCATTTGCGATGCCAGGGATGGAACTCAGGTCGACCAAGTTCACAGCATGCACTAATGCATTGTACTATCTCTCTGTGTTTTAATTTTTGTTCTTAAACTGCTACCTTGAGAGCTTGTTTCCATCCCAAACCTAAAACCCTGCCCTAAAGCTGAGCCAAAAAAATTAATTTTGTACTACTTATTATGAATAATGGGCTGGAACGATAGCACAGCGGCAGGGCATTTGCCTTGCACGCAGCCAATATGGCCGACCTGAGTTCGATTCCTCCACTCCTCCCGGAGAGCCCGGCAAGCTACTGAGAGTATCTTGCCCGCATGGCAGAGCCTGGCAAGCTCCCCATGAGGTATTCGATATGCCAAACACAGTAACAACAAAGTTTCCAATGGAGACGTTACTGGGCCTGCTTGAGCAAATCGATGAACAACGGGAGGACAGTGACAGTGACAGTGACATGCTATAAAATATAGGATGACTTATGAAATCATGGGCTGGAGCGATAGCACAGCGGGTAGGGCGTTCGCCTTACAAGCGGCCAACATGGCCGACCCGAGTTCGATTCCTCTGCCCCTCTCGGAGAGCCCGGCAAGCTACCGAGAGTATTCGATATGCCAGACACAGTAACAACAAAGTCTCCAATGGAGATGTTACTGGGCCCGCTCGAGCAAATCGACGATCAACGGGAGGGCCTTTACCTTTACCTTTATGAAATCATAGAGAATTTATCAGGTCAAATATTTAAGGCTCTTTATTAAAGGTGAGTCACCCACTCATCTTTGGAAGTTTTTTTTTGTAAGATTTCTAAGGTTCTAGGGGTTTTTTTGTTTTGTTTTTGTTTTTTGAGCTGGCACACCCTGCAATACTCAAGGCTTACTGCTGGCTTTGCACTCAGAATTTCTTCTGGTGGTGCTCAGGGGACCAGATGAGATGCCAGGGATCCAACCTAGATTGACCTCATACAAGGCAAGTCCCCTACCCATTGTACTATCTCCACAGCTCCTCTAAGGTTCTGTTTTTGATAAAATAATACCTTGACAGAATCCCAAGGTCCACTAGTTCCAGTCACTATGATTTTATTTTGCCACTTTTCTTGCTCGAAGTGGCTAAACAGTGGCTTTTTCATTCAATATATATTTATTAACTCTTCAATACTTGTAGTTTGCTTTCGCACATAAATTCTTATTGGGCTGGAGAGAGGATAGTGGGTAAGGCTTTTTCCAACCTAGGTTTGATCTCAGGCACAACAAGTGGTTTCCTGAGACTTCCAGGAGTGATACCTGAGTACAGAGCCTGGAGTCAACCCTGAACACAGCCAGATGTGGTCCCAAAATAAACAAAACAAAACAAAACAAAAAAACAGTAAAGACTTCTTGATTCCTTAATCACAAAGTTCTTGCTCACTCCTTTACTCTAGTTGTCTGCTTCTATATAGATTAATATTCAAAACATTTATGATTTATTTTCCATGTTTTCAATTTAAATGAACAGTCCAGGATTAGGGTTTATAATCTACTGTTTTTCTATTTTACATTTTCTTATACCCTAGATGAGATGATTGGAATGAGATGAAGACTATACCTCAAATACCTAAACAGTAATAAACTGAAATTATTTAGATCCTCTCAAATTATATCACCCTAAGTCTATTGCATAATATGTGTGCCTACCTTCTTTGCTTAGGGACCCCTACAAAGATTTTGTTTAGTTTTAAGCAAGGGATTTCTTTTGTTCCCTTTGCAAAAGAGAAATAAAATTCTTTAGACAAGTATCTTGCTACAATGAGACCCTTTGTTTAAGTAGAAATAATATAGGAAGTTATTCTATTATTCCTTGATCTAAGAGATGTAATAAATGTAGAATGTTATCAAAGTCCATCAAAAGTCCTAACTTTATTTTCTCTCATGCCATTGAAAAATACATATATTGTATAATAATCCCCAAGTTTATATGATAACTATAAACTATGAGATTATAGTTTTGCTATGGGTCAGTATGATCGGTTTCTAAGCTGCTTTTCTAAATGATAGTATAATGGATCTATCTGATATTTCAGAGACAAAGTCTATCTGATATTTCAGAGACGAAACATTTTCTACCATAGACTCAACTTTGTTCAATTTATATAAAATCTGAGAAAAGGCTTCCCAGCTGTTACCTGATGTGGTGGTTGATATTCATAGCTTGGTGATCAAAGGTTTACTGCCACTTTGTCAGGAGACATACTTACTTTTCTCACTATTGCAGGCATTTTCAATTGCTTCAAGGTGTGTAATAAAATGTGTGAATTGATGTTTCAAGACAGAAACATAACTGCTGTTCTACAGGTGTCTCAGAGTGTAGAACATTTTCTATTTGTAAAGTCCTTTGAATTTTGTAAAGCAATTCTACAGTATTATTTTAATTTTCACAATCAAGAGACTGGGAAGTATTAGTCTGTTATATCAAGCTAGTTTTCACAACATGGATAAATCTGTAAAATTAATTATTTAAAAGTATCATTTTGTATAACCTCATTAAAAATGTATAAATAAACTTTTCTGTAGTGAATTGACTACTGTTCTTATCCTTGATAAATAGAAAATTTTATAAATGAAATGATTTAAATTGTTGCTAAGTCTGGAGTGAAAGAGTTATTTTATAGTATGGTATTTCCACCAAATTAGTCAAATTTATTATAGTTATCTTTCCACTACTGTATAATTCCCATAGAAATGAATGCATGTTATACAGTTACATATGTACTTAAATAATATGTGGTACACACTTGTTGATGTGGGACCCCAGGCTGAATATGTTAACACACGACATGAGATTTAATAATAATAAAATTAATTAACAATTAATTTTATGTTTATCACAATGCAGTTTAATCAGTAGGCAAAGAAATGGGAAGTGTTAGAGTTTTGATGCTTGAAATGTTAAATAGTTTCTTACCTGATTGCTACACGTGTAGCTTGAAGGGTTTGACTAGATGAAATTTTTTCATCAGTTCCAGATTAGTAATTATCTATTTTTTATGTTTATTTTTAGTAATATATTTCGAGGCCATGCTATATGTGTCTATCATATGTCTAGCATACGAGCAGCTTTTAATGGACCATATGCTCACAAAGAAGGACCTGAGTACCACTGGTCACTCTATGAAGGAAAAGTCCCTTATCCAAGGCCTGGTTCTGTAAGTTGAAGCATTTGATAAAGTATTCTTATTATTGAGAGACTGTTTTAGTAAAATTATATGTATGGGGTATGGAATACAAACATTTAACTTGTCATGCCAGTCAGAGACTACACTTATAAGCAGCTGTTGAAACCTATCACTAGTCTGATTCTATAAGTACTTGGAAGTCAAGTAGAAACTGTTTTTGCAGAGCCAAAATCCAAAGTGGAAACAAACCTTACCTCCACTAACAAGTGTAAGGCTTTACCATTTCAATCATTCCCTCACAAGCTTAAAATTATTACTTTCAGTAAGACATAAAGTATATTTTATTTCACTCTATTGACTGAAATTATGCTTTAAATGAAGAAAACCCCCTCCTGTGGCTTTGCTGGAAATGCTTCATGAAACCACATGGTCTTAAAGGAGATTTGGAGGAAGTGACTGGTTACTGAACTGCTTCCAGGCTGGTCCAAAATGTTTCCAATTATATATCATGAAAGTACACTCAAGTGAAAAATTCATGCCAAATTAAGAATTATGGCCTGATTTTTAAAAAACAAATCATTTTAAAGCCCTTTTTGCAGAATTAGATTACTGAACTACTGTATTATACTTTAAAGTAGAAAATTTTTGTCAAGATAATCATCACAATCACTGATGTTTCTAGAGGAAAATATGCAAATACAGAGAGCATTTAATAAAAAGCATGAAACAGCATGGTACCTTGTTTAATAAAAAGCATGAAACAGCAAGATATTCCAAGAAGTAAAATAGGTACTGTTGAACGTTTATTTTTGAAATCAGTGACAACGTTAGACATTGGGAAGCAGATAATGGAAGGAGAAAATAAATTAGCATATTTTTTATTTTTCTCAATTTAATTCTTAATCCATATAAAATATAAAGCTTCACAGATTACAGAACAAAGTAATTTTGTAGCCTTGAAAATTAACTGATATAATTTTAATAAGTTTCTGTATAACAATAGTACAAGTCTGATTGAGCTACATGATTGGAAACATAACCAACCAGATTTTATAGTTTGAATTATAAGGGAAGTGTTTTGTGCGGTTGTGATCCTGAATTTGGGGATTGATAACACAAAAGAAGCATTGTTTACTATGAACAATATGTTAGTCTTCTAAATTTTATTTAGATTTTTTAAAAATTCCAAAAATGGGGGTAAATAATTAGAACATTTATGTTTTTAAATTTTCACCAATCCAGATTGTGTCAGTATTAAATATACTTCACTTTCTTAGGGTTTCACTACTTTCTGCATATTTGAAATAATTGAGTCTTTGAAATATACTGAATATTTTAAATAACTTAGTTTTCCTTGAAATATTTTTGACGGGTGACTCTCCAAGCAGTACTCATGAGGCCTTAGGGCTTCTGGGTGCTATACAGTGGATCAGATGATCCTTCTATGCTGCTTTGGCCTTTTGGTTCCCGGGACCATTAGAGCCACCATAGCAGTGCTTAAAAGAGTCTCTAGAACCATAGCCAGTGATGTTCAGGAGATTAGGTATTGAGTCTAGGTTTGAAGCATGCACCCTAGCCTCAGAAACTATCTTAGCAGACCTCTCATTTTGCAAGTTTTTACCACGGATTTCACATCTGTAATGAAGAATATATGGTTGTTTAATGTTTCTGAATGCCTATTTAGTAAAATGAACATATGTAATTTTCTAAGTCTCCTATTTGATTATAAGCTTTACCTTTAGATTTAGGACAGAGGATTTGAGCAACAGTACAGAGGGTAGTGTGTTTGCCTTGCACGAAGTCAAGCTGGGTCTGATTTTTGGCATCCCATAGGGTCCCACAAGCATCACCAGGAGTATTTCCTGAGGGAAAAACTAGTAGTAATCTCTGAGCATGTATGATCCAATAGGCCAAAACGAAAATAGATTTAGGCAAAATGTATTTGCCTTATCTTTCTTTATTTCAGTGTGCCAGCAAAGTAAATGGAGGGAGGTATGCAACCACTAAAGACTATCCTGATGATGCCATTCGATTTGCCAGAAGTCATCCACTTATGTACGAGCCCATAAAACCTGCCCATAAAAAACCAATACTCGTGAAAACAGATGGAAAATATAACCTGAAACAGATAGCAGTGGATCGAGTGGAAGCTGAGGATGGCCAATATGATGTCTTGTTTATTGGGACTGGTAAGAGATAAGAATGCATCCAGTTATTTTAAGTGAACCTTAAAATTAATCACAATCACAAATCATCCTGTTAGTCGTCGATTGCCTCGAGCAGGCCCCAGTAACGTCTCCTTCATCCTAGCGCTGAGATTATATTCAAGGCTCTTTAGGAGAATGAGACCCATCATTGTTACTGGTATTTGGCATATTGGGTACGCCAAAGGGAGTTTGCCAGACTCTGCCATGTGGGCAGGCTACATTTGGTAGCCTGCCAGTTTGTCCAAAGTAGGAATGAGATAATAAGATGTCATAATAAAATGTCGTGCGGCCGCAAATGCGGCCGCGCGGTTCAGAGATCTGGTTTTTATAGTCTCTGAGCCGCTGATGGGATTACACGGCGCCAGAGGGTCAGTTGGTGGGTGTGACCCCCGCCTACTGGAATTTGGAGGATCTGGGTGGAGGATGCTTGGCCCAAATCCGGGTAGGCTTGGAGATCTTGGCCCCGGAACCCGCGTGACTTTGTCCCTCTGCCAGTACCTTCATGTGTGCAGAGAGTGGTCTCAGCATGGTGGTGGCTGGTCCTGGAGGTCTTTGGCTGCCGGAGCCCTGGTCGGGGCGGGGAGGAAAGCTCAACCCGCTCCCCTCCAAGGGGTCCCGGCGAGCGAGGACAGTCAGGCGCGGGGGCAGAAGACTAATAACTAATTAATAACTTTATTAATATTTTTAAAGACACCAAAATCTTGTTATTAATCCATTATCCTTTTAACATATTTCTTATTCACTAAATTGTATAATTTGGACTCATTATATAACAGGACTTCATTCCTGATATTCTGTTAATGCAGTTTTTGTTCACTGCAAAAATGATTTTATCCAAGTAGGTTCCTTGAATTTTACATGAAAGATCTGCATATAAAACAATGACTTGGAAGTTACAGTCTACTGTACAGTATAAGTAGATCGTTCTAGACAACTCCCTGATGACACCTCTCTTGTTTACCCCAGTGCTTCCTCACACATTCTGCTCCTTTACAGTCCCAATCCATGTCCAACTCTCAGGTATTGTTCCTCATTTGCTCCCACTTAAGAGAACATTGAACAGGTCCTGTTCCTTCACTGTATTCAATCTAGTATACAGCTCCCTGGTCTGAAGTTGGAACCTTATAATTCGTGTCCCATGCTAGTATTTACTGCCCCATAGTTTGTCACTGGGCGTCTCAAGGTCTTAGTCCTGCTGCTCCCTGTCCTTTCTTCACTATCATCCACTTGATGCATGGATGAGAGTTTCCCACCTTGCCATTCACTTGGGTACAGGTGAGCAGGAAAGGGAAGCTGTCCTATGTACAGTTGCAAGCATGGGGTCAAAGATACAGTTACTTGGTGGAGCCCTCCTTTCCCTCTTACTGTGTCCCGCCCCTGCCAGTTTTGTCTGGCTACCTATTCAGTGGAAAAGATTTCAAAGAAACAATTAAATTAATTCAATTACCTGGCATCCCACCTTTCCCCTCTGTTTCCAATGTAACACTTTAAACAAATGAATAGGTGAACGAGAAAACTAAAAACAGTGCTGATTCTATATAGGATTTCTTGTAGAGAAACTAGGATGCCATGATTAGAAAGGCTCTGTTTATTGCCACTTTGGCCTGTAGTATCATGATTTTTCAACTTGGAACTATAGCTTTCTGAATCTTTCGCCATAATAATTCTTACCAGAACCTATCAGAATCAACTGTTTGAACCAAATAGATCAGTGTTAGCCAAGTAGAGATGAAAAACAACTTTTAGGAAAAAAAAACTATAATAATATTTGAATAAAACAACATAAAGTAAATATGGTAAAAAGTGAAAATTTTAATGTTTAGTATCATTAGATCTAACATATAGAAGAAAACTTGGATTCTTTGGTATCCAGGATAAGATGCAGCAAATCCTGTCAAGCACTTTAAAATTCCACAGTCATATAAAGTCTTTACAATTGTTTCTTTCTTCTTTTTTGTACATCATAGCAAGCAGTGCAGTTGCTATTTAGAACAAATAATATGTGATGAAAATTATTCATAGAATATATTGTTGTTTTTAAATTCTTTGGAAAATAAAATTCAAAATATGTCAGTAAGAATATTTTTCTGGACGATAGCACAGCAGGTAGGGCGTTTGTCTTGCACGCAGCTGACCCAGACTTGATTCCTCCCTCTTGGAGAGTCATGCAAGTTACCGAGAGTATCCTGCCCGCACTGCAGAGCCTGGCAAGCTACCTGTGACGTATTTGATATGCCAAAAACAGTAGCAACAAGTCTCACAACGGAGACATTATTGGTGCCCGCTCGAGGAAATTGATGAACAATGGGAGTACAATGCTACAGGGCAAGAATATTTTTAATATTTTCATACTATTCACTAAGACTATCAGAAAATTGTAGAAATATCGGGTATATATTATGCTAACATATAAATCATTTTTAAAGATACCATTATTTTGTTTTGTTTTGTTTTTAAATTTATTTATTTATTTATTGAATCGCTGTGGGAAAAGTTACAAAGCTTTCAGGTTTAGGTCTCGGTCATGCAAATATCAATCACATTTCCCTTTACCAATACTTATTTTTCACCATGAAGAACCCCAATAAACCCCCCCCCCAATGCCTGTGGGGCAGATGAATTCTAGTTAACACACCATCTACTTTGACTAGCTTCATTGTTTTGATAAAAGTTGCACCATTATTATTTAGACTTTACCCCCCCCCCCGCCCCAAATCAGCCATGCTGAAAAAGCATTGTGAAATGATTTGCTTTCTACAGCTGGGTTCAAGAATTAAATGATGTTGGTTTTGGATTTCTGCTATTTTACTTATTAACCCTGGAAGTATTTCTACCGAGAGTCAGATAATTAAGAGATTGGTTTCTGTGCTCTGGAGTCATTGCCGTGCCAGAGATCCGCTCGTGGGGGGCAACTGGTGACCTTGGTACAGCGTGAAGGACGGGCTGGAACACCCCCCATCCCATGAGGTTTCGGTCACGCCCCCACCCCCCGGCTCAGACCTGCTCTCCACAAGGCTCCCATGCGGCCACCATCTTTCTTTCTGAGATACCATTATTTTGAACCACAAAATTCAGGACAAAAGAATATATCTGGTGAATGTAAGCACAGCACTGTAAAACCCCACTATCCTTCAGGTTTAACAAACATATTTAATATGATACACATACCTTATTTCAAAATCAATTATGATCAATAATTTTAATTTCATCTTTGCTTTTTCTCTTGACATATTAATTCTTGGTTGTTTTATATGTACTAAGTTATTAAACCTATTTTAAATTTTATTCATATTGATTAGTATAGAACATAGGTGAAATTATTTTTGATCCAGTTTGATTAACACACCCACAAGATTTGATAACTTGGAAACAAACTGCTCAGATACTGTATAAAGTCTTAGATTAATGCCATTAAATGTTGCTTTTTAAAAGTTATTTCTAGCTGAAATTTATTGCTATAGGCAAATTATATGCTATTAATTTTCCACTGGATGGAACAAGCTCAGGATTAAATAGTTAATAAGGTAGAATTCTGAAATATAAATATAAATTTTGAAATTATTGTTAATTAGGAGTCTAAATGATAAGTATAGGAAGACATTGTGCTAGTCTCTAACAGTGTATCCTTGAATAATTTCTATTTGTAGTATATATGTTGCATGTAGTATATAAACTTATTAAAAATATTTATATATGTATATGCATACCTATATGTGTATTGTACATATATGATTATTTCCACAGCATCTTTTTGGGAAGTTTACTAAGTAAGTACATAGTTTCTTATTAGAAAAGTATTTTCAGATAAACATTTCTTTTATTGTATGTCACAGAAGAGGCCTGAATAATTTAGCAACTGTCATACTTCATTATTTCCAAAGACAATAAAATTTCAAGATATTTTAGTAGGGTTTTTTTGGTTCTCGGTATAAGGTAAAGGTAAAGGCCCTCCCGTTGATCGTCGATTTGCTCGAGCAGGCCCAGTAACGTCTCCATTGGAGACTTTGTTGTTACTGTGTCTGGCATATCGAATACTCTCGGTAGCTTGCCGGGCTCTCCGAGAGGGGTGGAGGAATCGAACTAGGGTCGGCCATGTTGGCCGCTTGTAAGGCGAACGCACTACCGCTGTGCTATTGCTCCAGCCCTTGCTGGGTTCTCGGTATATTTGGAATATATTTATATGTGATTTGATCTTATTTGTCTGCCAAGCACATTTTTAACTAAATAAAATTAAATTTTCAATAAGTGAAAATATAAATATATGTCATTGCACTGTTTTGGGCTGGAGTGATAGCACAGCAGGTAAGGCGTTTGCCTTGCACGCAGCCAACATGGCCGACCCAAGTTCAATTCCTCTGCCCCTCTCAGAGAGCCCAGCAAGCTACAGAGAGTATCTTGCCCACACAGCAAAGCCTGGCAAGCTACCCATCACGTATTCAATATGCCAAACACAGTAACAACAAAGACTCACACTGGAGATGTTACTGGGCCCTCTCGAGAAAATCGATGAACAACAGGAGGACAGTGACAGTGATTGTACTGTTTTAGCCTGCAGGTTTAAATATTTCATAAACTTTGTTTTGAAATCTTATTAAAATTCATAAACCCCATTTTTTCATTATTTGTAAAACATTGCAGCAAAGCTTCTCATTTACTTCTAACTTTGCTTTTATTCAGATAATGGTATTGTGCTAAAGGTAATCACAATTTACAACCAAGAAACAGAATCAATGGAAGAAGTTATCCTTGAAGAACTTCAAATTTTCAAGGTATTTTAGCAAAAAATGTAGGCAGGCACTGTTTGTATATTTCCAATATTTAAGGGTTGTATATCAGAAAGATATGTGAGTGAATGAGTAATGAATTTAGAGTGAATTAAAATTAGGAATGATTTAAAATTTTAATGCATATATTTTATTATTGATGATTATTCAGATATGTTGACTATATTGACAAACGAAAAATTAATCTCATTGTTGACACCATGATTACAAGGAAATAACAAATATCTAATATGAATTCCAGAATGGTCATTGTAAAATCACATACAATTGCACTATCAGTCCAGATTAAAATGTGATTTATTTCATATTGTGGATATTGAAGTGTAAAAATATACTGTATTTTCTTATATATATCAAAAATAAAAAGAACTTTACTAAAAATAGTAAGCCAAAATAAAAATGGGAATATCAGACAAAATAAAATAACTATAATTATACACAGAGTAAAGTCTCAATATTCATGAAAGTTTTGGTTTTTATGTGTAGGCTGGGTTAGGAAATACCATTGTTCTTAAGAAAAAAATAAAATTAGATTCCTGAGGATCTCAGTCACAGAATTTTTGTTATCTAATCTACTTGGCCGTATTTTATTAGTATTTCTAGGTAAAGGTAATTATATATTGTTTTTAATTGATATAACACTTGTCTTCGAAATACTATAATTCATACCTGAACAATGTTTATGAAACATTGTTATGTTTCTTTGATGGGAGGTGGGTTTTGCATCACATCCAACTCTGCTCAGGGTTTACTCCTAGGTACGTGCTTAGAGATGAATCTTAGCAGTCCTCAGGAACTGAATGCTGTGCGGTGCTGGCAATTGAACTTTGATCATTGGCATGCAAGGAAACTGTCTAAGCTCCTGTACTTGCTCTCCAGCACAGCGGGTAAGGCGTTTGCCTTGCACGCAGCCAACATGGCCGACCCGAGTTCAATTCCTCTGCCCCTCTCAGAGAGCCCAGCAAGCTACAGAGAGTATCTTGCCCGCACAGCAAAGCCTGGCAAGCTACCCGTGATGTATTCGATATGCCAAACATAGTAACAACAAAGTCTCACACTGGAGACGTTACTGGGCTCTCTCGAGAAAATCGATGAACAACAGGACAGTGACAGTGATTGTACTGTTTTAGCCTGCAGGTTTAAATATTTCATAAACTTTGTTTTGAAATCTTATTAAAATTCATAAACCCCAAAGTTGGCCAAGAATCACGAAAAAGAGAAAGGCTTCCAGTCCACCTGAACACTGTTTGAGGGATACCACCCCCAGATCATCTCACCTCTATATAATGTATTAAAAGAACAAATCAAGAAAATATATACTGTCCAGTAAAAATAAGACTTTAAACTACATAACTGAGGTTATCAAAGGGTTGGAGAGTAAGGTATCTGTAGGTTCCTATGAATTTTGCCCACTTGAAATTCATTTTGTCCGGGCAACTTTTACTAATTCTGAATTAAATAAGATATTCATTTTAAAATATTTTGTTTCAGGGGCTGGAGCAATAGCACAGAGGGCAGGGTGTTTGCCTTGCACGCGGCTGACCCGGGTTCGATTCCCAGCATTCTATGTGGTACTCCGAGCACCGCCAGGAGTAATTCCTGTGTGCATGAGCCAGGAGATATGGGATGCTGGGAATCGAACCCGGGTTGGCTGCGTGCAAGGCAAACGCCCTACCCGCTGTGCTATTGCTCCAGCCCCCATATGCTGTATTTTTAAGACGTAGGTTATAGGCACTGAAAGAGAGATATTAGCAATTAGGTGGGTGGATATGATGTGGTACCACTGAACTCCTAGAACTTAGACTTATGCTCTTATAAACCAGTATTGCATCAATAATAGAAAAGCACCAATGTAAGTGGTCTCTCAGGACTTTAATACATGTTTATTCAGTTGAAAATACAAGAAAATCTATTGCCCGAGTGAATAATTATATGCATCCATGTATGCACAAAAGGTTTTGTAATTTAAAATTTTTAAAAAGAAAAACTATTGATAGGATAATTTTTCCCTCAAATAATAATTATCCAAAGGGTAACCATCAACAGAGTTCATCTCATTTACTGCTTTTAAGCTTGCAGAATTGATCTGAGTTTCTGATGCTCCTTAGAGATACTCTAGCCATAATCACTATCCCTAGAATAACTCTTAGGCTTTCAGAACTACGCTAAAGATTGTTATTCCTTTTATGTAATTCTAAGACAATAAATGTATCCTGTTCAAAGCATCCCGAATTTATAGTGATTGATTGTGCTAATGCCAACAGAAAAGAGTTTTGTTTTGACTTGGACAAAACAGCTAAAGATCATATGATTAATTAGTAATGATACCTTCAAAGAAATGACTTCTTTATCCTTAATGGCTCAAGTTCCATATAAGAAGGAGCCCTTATTGGTTTTATCAAAAGGCTTTTCATCTTACAAAGTACAAGAAATATTTAAATTCATATAAAAATTACTTTCTGGAGAAAATGGTAAACAACGTAGATTGTCCATGGTTCTATACTATGACATTAGAAAGGATTCTTTTTATAAAGTCGTAATCTAATTGTATTTGAATATTTATTAAAATAAAAGCTATAGACTGCTTTACTAAGCCCCAGTCACATATATAATGGGATTTGTAAGCACATGAGGATATTTTCTTTTTTAAAAAAGAGATACTTATTAGAAATTTTGTTACTTTTTTCAGGATCCAGTTCCTGTTATTTCTATGGAGATTTCTTCAAAGAGAGTAAGTTCAGATGTTGTGTGTTTGCATGTAGGTTGTACATGGGAATATGATCAAAGAATACATAAAATATTGAATGCCAGTGCCTATTTATCAATAAATTGTGGTTTTTATTCTTTCAAAAATAGTGTTATACAAGTGATAGAGTTCAAGTTTCTATTTTTAGAAAATAGTGAGGGTAAATTTTCTTTTATAATTGTGATAGGACGTTATTCCCTATTACTATTTTCACTAATTTTTAAAATAAAAATAATGGTAATAACAATAATTCCAAAAGAATACACAGTGAAAATTGGCTTCTGTTTCACTTTACCAAAAGGCTTTTCATCTTGCAGAACACAATATTTAAATTCATATAAAAATTACTTTCTGTAGAAAATGGTACGCTACATAGATTATCCATGATTTTATACCACGTCATTAGAAAGGATTCTCTGTATAAAGCTATAATCTAATTGTATTTGAATATTTATTAAAATAAATTTATTATTTATCTTTATTTTATTACTTATTTAATTTTGGTGCGCTTTTTTTTTTTTTTTGCTTTTTTGGTCACACCCAGTGATGCACAGGGGTTACTCCTGGCTCTTACACTCAGGAATTACTCCTGGCAGTGTTGGGTGGACCATATAGGATGCTGGGAATTGAACCAGGATAGGCCGTGTGCAAAGCAAACGCTCTACCCCCTATGCTGTCATTCTATCCCCCATTGGTGCACATTTCTTCAGAAAGAGTTATTGTATTAAATATACTTTAAAATTTCCTTTTTGTGTCTAGGTGTGGGAATTTGTCCCCCTAACAAAAAGTCCCAAGGATAGGTTATGCCCTGAGATAAGAGAGTTTAGGTAATACAGTGCAAAGTTTTTTAAAAAATGCACTCAGAAAAAAAAAAAACTACAGGAAATAATAGAATGCATAACAGCTATCTGATGGTTGCAGAAATACATGGGGCAAGTATAGAATAAGTCTGTTCAAGGACTTTAAGATATAGTCAGGTAGTTCCCTAGGAGATGTGAAAGCTCAGTCTGGTTAGATTAGCATAGATAGGCAAATGTCTGTAAATAACTGTCCTTGTTCTTCTGATGATTGTATATTTAATATTATGAATATAAAAGGGCTGGAGGGATAGCACAGAGGGTAGGGCGTTTGCCTTGCACACAGCCAATGTGGCTGACCCAAGTTTGATTCCTCCACCCCTCTCAGAGAGCCCGACAAGCTACTGAGAGTATCTCACCCATACGGCAAAGCCTGGCAAGCTACCCGTGACGTATCTGATATGCCAAACAGTAACAAGTCTCAAAATGTTACTGGGCCCACTCAAGCAAATTGATGAACAACAGGAGGACAGTGACAGTGACAGTGAATATAAAAAGTCATGAGAATTCAGGCTCTCCATCCACTAGACTGTTAGGATCCTGATCTCATGCTTTTCTCTCTTATGTCTATCTTGTTTTGTAATCTTCTGGGCACCTTGCTTCAGACCCATTACCCTAGGAATGGTCCCTGCATCTTAGACAAATGAGAGCATGCAATGTTAATTATTTTGCTGCTTGTATTCTTTGCTTCACATGGTGTCTTAAAATTTATATATCATTACTTACACTATATATATATATACACGTGTGTATATTTGTTGTATATGTCATTTCAAAATGTTATATATCAGTATGCAAAGACCATTTACTTGTGTATTCTCATAATGAATGTGTCTATTCATCATTTGAAGCCCTCACACATGCAGGGCAATCACCCTGCCATCAAACAGCATCCCCCAACCCTTCTACAGATCTTTTAAAAAGGCGTGGAATGTTAGATAATTTTTACTACATAGCAATAAATATAGGAAGTCTTTGTGCTTCACTAATAAAAAAAAAGTCCATTTCTTAAGTTTTTGTTAAACTTACTCTAAAATATTTAGTGCCTCTACCTCAGAGTCTGTGAAGTATTTCAAATCTTAAGGAAAAAAACATCAATATTTCTTTATCTGTTTTTAGCAGCTGCAATAATTTATGAGACTATTCATAGAAGCAATAGTACATATGTGCTGAGGCTTCTGTCAGTTCTTGCTAGTGACCCATTTCTTCGTTCATTTCTTTAGCAACAACTGTATGTTGGCTCGGCTTCTGCTGTGGCTCAAGTCAGATTCCATCAATGTGACATGTATGGAAGTGCTTGTGCCGATTGCTGCCTGGCTAGAGATCCTTACTGCGCCTGGGATGGTATCTCCTGTTCTAGATATTACCCAACAGGAACACATGCAAAAAGGTGAGACAGTTCCTTATGGGAGATGTTCATTGTTAAGGAAAATGCAAACGCTCCTTTTTTCCCTCTTATCTTGTTCTATTTTATTGTGTACCCATTCTATGAAAATAGCCACATTATCTTTATATAAATAAATCATCACAGTCCATTTTGGCCACAACACAAGCTTTGAAAAATATTACTCTGATTTAAGCAAACATCATAGACATACTCAGTTTATAAGAGAAGCTCTTAAGCCTTGAACTTTTTCCTTAGAGTTACTTCCATAAATGTGTGAACACTGGAGTAGAATATGCTGCTGGGTTTTAATTTCTCCATCCAGTTTTGCATCAGCTCACGCCCCCTGAAACTTGCTGCAAGATATGAAACCAGTCTAGATAAACTTAAAGTGGTGAAATGGCATGCCACCACACATGAGGGATTCAAAGACTTAAAAGGAAAATAAATAAATAAATTCTAAAATACATCCTGCATTTGCCCCATGTCCTCTTAGCCAGCTGGTCTTCATTTATTTCATTTTGAAAGTGAACATTTTAACTCCTAAGCAGATGCATGACCTGTATAATTAATGAAATGTGTGATTTAATTCAACACAAGTGAAGGGTACTTAAGACCTCCCAGTTCCAATGTCTGTAAGCCAGCGAGGTCATTGTCACTTATTAGAGAAGTTAAATCCCAGGATTCACTGAAGGGAGGTCATGAGGTACAGAAAGTATTTTGAAGAATAAGGATATTTCTTTACTTAAGCATTGTGAAATTATTCATTCTTGGTCAAAACTATAGAAGAAAGTATTCTTAGTTTATACAATGAGAAATTGCTTTATTTCTCTTAAGAAAGTGACTGTAGCGAACTTAAAGTAGAAACATAGGGGCCAGAGAGATACTCAATAGGCTGAACAAGTGCTTTGCTTTCAGGAGTTCAGGTTCTATCTTTGGCATTATATGGTACCCCAACACAATCAGAAGTGAACTCTCCCCAATCAAGCAGCCAAGACTATCTCTCAAGCACCTCTAAGTGTAGTCCAAAAAGAAAAACAAACAATCCAGTGACAACTAAACACAGAAAACAAGTGGAAATAAGCACATGGATATGTTTAGTTTCTAACAGAAAAGCAAGTTTATTTATGTCAATTAATTTTACACTTTCCTTTTAGGTAACACTTAAATCTTTGAAAAATTTTATTTCAGAAAATTTTAACATAGATTTTTATATAATATGATTTTATTTTAAGAAAAATTTGGCTACTAATTAAAAACAGTTCATTTGAAAGCCACATTTATATTTTAATGATTATTTAAAGGAAGATTACAATAAATAGTGGTGTTGTGAAAGTGGACTTTCCTGAGTTGGTGGGTTCTTGAGAATTGTATGAAAGATCTGAAAACAAAACTAGAAAGATTGAAAATTAGTTTATTGTACAGAAAAGGTAGATAGTTCCAGGTTCCTCCCCAGAAGTCCAGGACACTCCTTTTCCCAGGAACGATGACCACATCCTGTTGCTGATGGTGCCGGGTCCCTTGAATCGCTTCCCTGTCCTGTCCCATGCTGTCTATTCACCTCCAGTGAAAAATGGCCTGGTTCTGTCCCTGTGAGGTTCTTATCCCTGTATGTTTCCCTGAATCTCTGGCCACAGCCGCCCTAACGGGCAAGATCCTTCTCTTCCCTACCGTTGGGGGCCTCTCATTAGTATCTATCATCTGGTCCCAGTTCTCCTACTCTCCAGCCACGCTCTCCTGCACATAGGTGATAGTCCTGTACTTAGTATATTGTCACTACCTGGGTTCAAGCCCTGCCTGTCCCTGAGCTATCCTGGCCATCTGAGCCATGCCTGTACCTGCCCGGGTCTGGCTTTGAGTGGCCCTCCTGTGTTGAGCCCGTATCTGCTTGCACCACTTTACCTTATGCAGCTAGAGGAGAGTCCAGAGTACATATGCTCAGAGAAGAATCAGAGCAAGCGAGAGAGAGCTAGCTAGCTGTGACTTGGGCCTTCCTTTTATATGTTACCACATTCCCCCCCTCATCCCTCTATACTGTTCTGCGTTCTGATTGCATACCTGTTCTATGGGCGGAGATTTATAGTGTCCTGAGGCACCACGCTTCAGCTCCAGCTATATCAATAACAAAATGTGTTTTAAACATTTATTGTAAGGAAACAAAAATGTTGCTTTAAGTGCAAAAAATTCCGTATCTTCTTACTATTATGTTTTAACAATGCAGATACTTACGCATTATCTAGCTAGCAAGATAGCTATTATTTTAGGGGGCTACAACCGAGGGTTTTAAGGGCTTCTGGCTCAGCACTCAGAGATCACTCTTGAAGGAACTCAGGCAATCATATGTAATGCTGAGGATTCAATCTAGATATTTTCTGACATAAAGCCAATATTCGGACTTAATGCTAAAATGTCCATTCATATTTTTCCTTAATTTTTTCTTAATTCTCCTGCTCCTGTTCTTACTCTAACTAAATTGTTTATCTGTAAGTCTTATCTATTTCATGTAAATTTTTAAATGCATCAGCTTAGAATTATTCATACTATAATGCTGTCAGTTGTTTTAATGTACCTATGAAACAGAAAAATAGATTTTTTTCAAGTTATTCACTTACACTTATATAGAATTTTAGGAACTGAGCTTTATTCATCTATATTTGTACTTGGATACTTCTATATTTATACTCTGTGGCCTTGTCACCACGTCCATAATAATTTTTTTAAAAACTCCTATGTGTGATACAAAGAAACATATAGTAAGGAAACAGCAAATGAGTTATGTCCTCAAGACTGAAGATTTTGTCCATAGAATTGAGCATTCATGGGAGGAAAGGTAACTGGTAGTGCCCTGTGCGATACCAATAAAGGAAAATGAGTATTCTTATGGTCAGTGTAGTGCTGGAACAATGTGTGCATGGAAAGTGTAATTAACAGTATTAGAAATCATGGTACTTAATAAAAATGTCTTAAAAATCTGGCAAATTAATTGATCTTATACAAATGTAGCACTGTAGCTACATCTCGTTGTTCACCGATTTGCTCAAGCAAGCACCAGTAACATCTTCATTGTGAGACTTGTTGTTACTGTTTTTGGCATATTGAATATGTCACACGGATAGCTTGCCAGGGTTTGCCATGCGGGCAGGATACTCTAGGTAGCTTGCCAAGCTCTCCAAGAGGGTTGGAGGAATCGAACCTGGGTCAACTGCGTGCAAGGCAAATGCCCTACCCACTGTGCTATACAAATGTATCTTGATATTTTAAAAATTATTACAAACAGAAACAGATTATTTATTTTAAAATATAATGATAGTTTTTTCATCATTTTCATTTCATTTCATTTTATCATCCTGTTATTCGTCGATTGCCTCGAGCAGGCCCCAGTAACGTCTCTTTCATCCTAGCCCTGAGATTATATTCAAGGATCTTTAGGAGAATGAAACCCATCATTGTTACTGGTATTTGGCATATTTGGTATGCCACGGGGAGTTTGCCAGACTCTGCCCTGTGGGCAGGCTATATTCGATAGCCTGCAAGTTTGTCCAAAGTAGGAATGAGATAATAACAAGTTAAACTATAGAAAAAATTAAACTATAGAAAAAATATATAGGCATGTAGATAAAATCATACACTCTGGTATAAAGCAGCATTTCCTAAACAGGTCAGATGGCTCCCTACTAGGGACCTTGGATATTACAAGGAAACAACAGGTTAAAAAAAAAAGTGCATAAACTGTGTGTGTTGGGGGAGGATGTCACAGCACAAGTCTAATTGCCACCCTTCGGATAGAAACAAGGTCAGAAACAATCGATAAAAGGCTGAGAGACACTGTTGTAGAGGCAAGAAGAACCTAAAGAGTAGAATTCTAATTAAGGATGATAGAAGTGCATTACAAAGCACTTACTGTGCATAAAGTATTAGGCAAAGTACAAAGCATATAATGAATTATTCAGTTTTCAAAATAATTTAAACTTAATTTGGGAAGTAGATTGGGCCACATCTGGTGGTGCTCAGGACTTACTTCTTTTTTTCTGTGTACTGAAAAGAGTTTTAGGGGACCATATGTGATACTGGGAATCTAACCTTGGCCTGCTGTATAGCTGCCAAGGCAAGCTCCTTAACAAACCTTGTTCTCTGTCTCTGTCTCTGTCTCTCTCTCTCTCTCTCACTCTCTCACTCTCATTTTCTCTCCCTCCTTTAAACTTAATTTTAAAGGTAGAGATTTATGGAGATTCCAGTCAAAAGCATAGAATGTTCAAGGAAAAGTATGCTGTTCCAGGATTTAAGACTTTTTAAGTGGCAGGATCTGAGAAATGTATTTTTACCAAAAAAAAAAAAATCAATGATTTTATTGTTATTAGCGACAACGAAATGCTTATGGGTTTTGCATCAAATGCAGTGAATGGAAGGGTTTGTATTAGGCCTGCAATAATGATGGTGAATTTTAACTCAGCGGTGTCTATGAGAAGTTATTTTTTGGCATATGATGCCTCTTATAAGATTATATAACCACAATCTTCGTGATGTATTTTTTTTTTAGTGATGTATTTTAAAGGGTAGACCAAAAGAGTTTAGAAAAGTTAATTGAGCAGGCAGATTATAGACAGGAAAGAGTAAAATGCTAGAGCCAGGAGCTATGCTCAAAAATGAATTAGTTAAGTTCAGTGACATGTAATTGAGATCTTTCAGTGGTGTCAGATTCTTTGAACCATCACTCACCCCAGGAGGAGAACTTTTTGGAAAAGGTCCAGAACATGAAGGGAAAGAGTTTGCTTTTATAGCAGATCATTTTTGCTTTAGACCTGACTAGAAGCAGAAATTGAAAACTACTCATTAAAATAAATACGTCTCTGTTCACAGAGTGAAAATGAGTCAACTGCAGAAAAACATTAATTCACCTTCCAACCCACTTGTTTATAATAGTCTTCCAAAATACACCATCATTTGTAGAGCTAGGAATTTTTCCCTCCCTCTGCTCTTACATTTTGTCTGTTTCCTGTTCTCTTTAGCAGATTCTAAAACACAAGTTATAACACAAAAATATATGACTTTGAGAATATAATAAAAGTTGCTTACCAGTTTTTAAATTCCTAATACATCCCTAAATACTGGAGTAAAAAGACAAGAAGTATTACAGTGGTATAAAATTAACTGAACTACTGAAATTTCGCAGAAGTATGCTATCTTTCTTTTAAGTCATATTTCTAATGACTTAAATTGTTTCCATGTTTAATATTTAAATTGCTTACTAGAATTACATTTTACATTATTCTTGTATCACCTGTATTATAAATGATATCATTTGTACAAATTGTAAGCTGCTTTCTATTTCATTGATTTGCCTGTTGCATTATTTACTATTACTCAGTCAATTTTGTAGTCTCTATTTTAAATCAATACTCAATGAAGTGAAAATTTACCCACAAGTTTTGTTTTCTTCTAGAGTACTATCATTTTCATACATGGTAATATAAGATAAACTTAGAAGCATAAATATTTCTCTTTTTTTGTGCTACTTTGATCTCAAGTTCTATTATTTGACTTGTTGAAATGATCCATGTGGCAGTTTTAATTTAATTTTGTAAAATCCCAAGTCTTTACAGTTTTCTAATCACAATCTTATTTTTTAAATCATGATTTATACAGTTTTAATCATAAAATTATCTGAAAATATTCAGCTGCCCTATGTCCAGTACAAGAAAATACTTAATAATTAAATAGTCTTGAATTATTAATTATTATCTAAGCTCATATAGAAGAGAGTATTTCATCTCATAAAATAATGTTTCATGTTCATGGTTCAGAGCCAATCAAGCCAGCATAGAATAACAAAAAGATACTAGAACAGATTTTAGATGCCAGAAATGTTTATTTCACAATGACAAACATAATTTAGAGGTAAAAAATATATTTGAGGGGCCAGAGAAAGACACAACGAGTAAGGCACTGCCTAACATGTGAAGGATACAGATCAGTATGGCACCTCCTATGGTTCCCAGAGCACTGCCAGGAATGAAACCTCAGCACTGATGCAAAAGTAAGCCTTGAGCATTTCCAGGTGTGCCTCCACAAGTATACACACACATATATACACACATATAGGTGTGCGTCTATATATATGTATATATATGACAGAGAAATCATAGAATATGATGAGAGTTATTGTCTTCTGATTTAAATCTGATTTCCTAATCCAAATTGTATTTTTACATAAAGGTTAAAATATCTTACTGTCATTTTGAAAGCTTATCCTTCAACTTTGGCCTGTTTTTAGCTCAGTTCTGAAAAATGTCATGTCTTATATAAGAAAGTGGCAATTTCTGCCTTTGTATAATATCCCTATCATATCTCTAATTAAATTTAAATGCATATCATGATTCTAAAATTCCAGTACTAATAATGATAAAATTAGTACTTCAGAGAGATAAATATAAATTTAAAATATAACATATTCTGAAATTTTTCCATGTATGAAGGACATTGCTTTTTCAGTTAATATCTAAATAGCATATAAAATAAAAAACATATACTTGAAGTGATTCTAATTATAATAGGTATATTCAGAAAAATAACATTTCACATGTGCCTCTATCTGCAAGATATTATATTAACTCTGTATAAAATATTAGCACCTGGATAAAGTCCTATCATTAGTAAATGCATATTGGAATAAAATAATTGGTTGAATATATTATTAATATTCTTTTTATTAAAAACTGTAGTTGGTCTAGTAGATGATGATAGAGGTATGCAAAATATTTAGATTCCAATATATTTTAAACATGTATTTTATGGTATATTAGAGTTTTGTTCAAATAAATTGTCTACTCAAATCTTACTGTCTTTTCTGTGCACAAGTCTCACCCTGACTTTCCTTTCAAACCACAAGGTGTCTTGTTGAAGTCCATTTTTTAGCATAATGTTAAAGAATTTTTTTAAATTATTGTTGTAGGATTTAGAGTAAAAACTTATGTGAACATTTAAAGAAGAGTTGATCTTGATCTTATCTATTAAGGATATTGAATGAAAGTATGAACAGCTATGGAACTTTAATTTTATACTTGTTCTGTATGACTGATTCATTTTTTCAGTAGCAGAGAGCCACTTGAATCTCTAATGCAGTTGGCAATATTTTAAAGTCTGGAAAATTGAAATCTTAACATCTCCTAAATGCATTTACTTTCTTTCAGGCGGTTCCGCAGACAAGATGTTCGGCATGGAAATGCAGCTCAGCAATGCTTTGGACAGCAGTTCGCTGGTAATCCATAGAAAATTGATTGCTCTGGGTAACATAGAGTGTACACTGAAGATAAATTGCAAGCCTCTTTTAAAGGGTCCTTGTTTTCTTTGTGGTTGATATTTACTACAATAATTTTACTGAAAGTATTTATTTCTTCTATACAGTTATACTTTTGTGGATTTGACATATCATTAGCCGTAATTAGGAAAGTATGCCACCACCAAACTTTACTGTTAAACCTCCAAGCAGGGTAATCCTAGAACTAGAGTTGGTGTATACTGACAGTGGGCGAAGTCACAATGACCTTGGTTCTTATTTCTCATCTCTGGGAAAATCTCATTGTTTTAGAAACTTATAGTATTTATTTTTAGTGATCCAGCTTGTGTCAAATCACCTACTAAGCTTCTGGACAGAATAAACTTTTTTTAATTTTAATTTTTATTTATTTATTTATTTATTAATTTTTATTAGTGAGAGACTATGAGGTACAGTTGTAGACTTACAAATTTTTGTGCTTGGGTTTCAATTACACAATGGTCAAATACCCATTAAAATGACCCTTTTACAGCAGTGGAAAAAGCTGAAGTTAGGGTCAGGGGTATTGATGTGATTTTTGAGCAAAACTGATAGGTGGTTAAAAAATAAAAAGAAAGTTCAGTTCTAGGAAATCAGGGGGGGCTCAAATGAAAAAGTAAAACACTATCCCGAGCTTTCACATCATGATGGTTTTAATGTACAGATGGTGACCAGTGCCACAATTTCATCAAGAAGTATAACTGTGGGTAGGAGCACGAGGATTGGGAGCTCAGTGGTGCTTATGTTTAGATCTAGAATTGTGGTCCAGTATCATTTTGGTAGTACCCAGACTTGAAGAGTTGGCATAAGACTTTGCCTCTAAGGTTACTGACTAGCTAAAACCAAAATCTTAATTTGGAAAGAACTGTGGGCAAGTTTTGAGCTGTGAAGGGCTCAGACCTGGAGAAAGGAAAAAATACATTTCCAGGATCTAGTAAGATTTGAGAACCAACAATAAACAAATTTGCTTTTATTCCTCAATTTAGTGATACATATTTGCCTGTAAGTTAAGTTGAATCCAAGTTCAAAGGAAGTCTTCCTAGACCAGAGTACAGAATTATAAGTTAAAAGCTCAGTTTTGGAAATCCTTAATTCAATTTCTTATTCTTGTGTTACTGTGTGGACCCAATGTCTTGAAAAGTGTGATATTCCTTTTAAAGGTATGTGCATGAATGTGGCACATCACCTAAACTCTGTTTCTCTGTATCCATGAAATTGGTCCAATGCCTTGTTTAAATGTTGGTTGTTTCCCTTTCCTTGTCTGCTTTAACAAATGGATGTTATCATTCATTTCACATGCATCTAACATTGATGTACCTTCTGGTTTTCTCAGTAGCCCCAATCTTTGGAATCAATCTACCCAGTAAATTCTTATAGCCCCTTAGCATGCTGTAATTTTTCAATGCTTACATTTTGGCATACGACTCTAAATAACATATTTAAATGGCCTTACCTAAAAGTAAACAATAAATACTGAAAGGTGTTTACTTTGTTGTAGAGAGTTAAATTTATATTTAATTTTATTTATCACTAAAATCAAAGTCTTAAGAATGATGTTAACATTCCTCTTGCAGGGGATGCTTTGGATAAGACAGAAGAGAGACTGGCCTATGGCATAGAGAACAACAGTACTTTGCTGGAATGTACTCCACGATCTTTACAAGCAAAAGTCATCTGGTTTGTTCAGAAAGGACGTGACACAAGAAAAGAGGAGGTAATTGTTGGCATTGATACCATGATATCTTGATATCTTGCATATAGTATGCGATTTGTAAATAGATGATTGTTTTGCATACTTTAGAATGATACTGTTTTACTAAGTATGCCTTATTTGTGGTGTTGGTTATTTGCACATAGAAATTTAAATACATAAACTCGTAGTTTCTTACACCTAAATTTATTTGTATATATGAGCATATGCATTCTCTCTCTCTATATATATGCATATATATCATATGGATCCTGAAAATTGAATTTTTTCAAAAGATTAATAATTATGATTTTGTTTTGTTTTATTTCGTTTTGGATGCCATATCAGGCAGCACTCAGCAGCTTCTCTTGGCTCACTACTCAGGGATTATTTCCTAGTGGAACTCTTGGGACTAAATCTGGTCCTCCGTCATGCAAAATATGTGTGTGCTCAAGTTTTTTGAACCATTCTGGATTAAGTTTTACGATTTGGTATTGTGCTATCAAAATAATTATCTTAAATTATCTACCCTAGGCTATGAAAAAATAGCAAACATGGACAAAATTTGCTCATGTGTATTAAGTAAATGGATAATATCATTTTAGAAAAGTTAAAACCAGCAACAGAATACATTTTTTTTTGCTAAAACTGTGACATATAGTATTTTAATTCAGTAGTTGACTATAAACAAAGGAGAACTGCAATATTTTTGTCCTTTAGAGCACCTTTAGTAGATATTTTATTTTTATAGCACTGTCCTGTCCTGTCCTCCCGTTGTTCATCGATTTGCTCGAGCGGGCCCCAGTAACGTCTCCATTGTGAGACTTGTTGTTACTGTTTTTGGCATATCAAATACACCGCAGGAAACTTTCCAAGCCCTGCCATGTGGACGGGATACTCTTGGTAGCTTGCCGGGCTCTCTGAGAGGGACAGAGGAAATCGAACCCGGGTCGGCTGCATGCAAGGCAAACGCTCTACCCACTGTGTTATTGCTCCATAATCATAAAAAAATAAAAGTGCATATTTTTATGGATAAAATTATATACTTCATTTAAAGCAACACCTAAATAATCTTTAAATACTTATCAGATAAATTAACTACAGACTGCATGAAGTTTAGGCTTTCATACAGGGCCTAACTAAGGACATGGCACATTTCAGATAGGCATATAAAGCCTTGGAGATGTTAATGTGAGCTTCAAAATCAATTGCACAAAAATGGAATATAAAGATAGAAGAAATTGGGCTATTTCAAAGGAAGAAAGTTCTTGGAAGATGTTTTTCAAGTGGTCCTTACTAAAGAGAAGATTGCATGTTAAATAAAGTAAGCAACTAAAGTGACCCACTTTAAGTAGAAAAACAATGGTAAATTTTATAAGTTAAATCCGTGTGATCTTCTCTTTATTTTGGCCTTGGAGATCAAACATTTGTTCATGGGAACTAAAACTTGCCTCTTTATACTCCTCTGACAATGACCATCAAGGCTTGTAGAACACTAAGCACCATTAATTTGCAGTCATGTCACAGCCTTTGTAAAACATTTAGACAATTACATATACATATCCCTCTCATTGAAGTGAAAATTTTGAGTTTGTAACATCTGCCTGAAGATTCAAACTCAGCTCTCAGAAGGTAACTGAAAAGCGTTTATTTAGGTGGATAAAACTATTGCTCAAATGAAATCTTAAAAAGTGCTACTTAACTAAAGAGCTGAAAATCATCTAGAATTATTTTATATGGTTCCAAGGAAGTGAATTACTAAAGTGCTTGTGAATATGCACTTTATAGTTTCCTACTTTCTTAAATATCCTACATTGAATAATCTCTACACATTTTACTAATTTCATAAACGTTCATTGAATTCTTACTTTGTAGTGACATCATGAGAAGCATTTCTCTTGCTTTGATGGTCTGATAATTGCGATGTTCATTTGTTACTGTGATATATTGAAGGGAAAGAGCACATAATTAAAGAGATCTAATAGAGTCGTCTCTTTTGTATGTGTTTGGTGCTAAGGATTGAACCCAGATTCTCACACATGAAAGATATGTGCTCTGTCACTGATTTATATCCCAGCCACTAGGAAGCTATTTTTTAATGTGAATCTACTGCACACAAAAACTATCATAGACTCCATCCCATATTATTCCTAGGTATCACAACTTCACACTACATGCAGTCTTCATCACTTTACAACTGATTATCACTTACAGTGACTTAAAGTTATGCTGTCTCATAATTAAAGTCAATGACAGACCTACTGCTTCAACTCAAATATTCCTAATGCCAGAGTTGCTTTATATTTATTCATTGCCTAGAACTTCACTTAGGAGTTTTATAAACTATACTACTTTATTATTAGAAATTATGTGTGAGGCAGTTGAAAGAATTTTTTTCTAACTTTTCTGGATAGTCAGTGTTATTTGAAAACTAAGTTTTCTGAAGAGTCAAAAGCAGTAGATTCAAATCAAGATCTTTAAATTCTTTCCTTCAAATCACAAACTTTCAGAGATCAGAATTTAAATATAATGTTGAATTATTTGGAACATGTAGAAAGTGGAAAATTTCTCAACAAAATTTTTAAATTTCATTTCTGAAAAAAGTCTCCTGGTATTTTTTGCATATGTATTTTTTGCATACATTTAATGGGAGAGATCAGAGTTTAGTGGCACATGGAGATATAGCTTTGGTAGCCAAAAAACTATTCTTCATTTTCCTTGTATAAGAAATCACCCAATAGTTTGAATAGTTCATACTCTAAACAGTGACATAATAAATATGTTTTATGATATATACATCACTGTATTTCCATTATAGAATTCTCTTTTAGGGTTCTTTTCTATGCCTGTTAACATAAAAAATGGACTCTGTCAAAATAAGTCCTATATTTTTTATGCCTATATACACAAGTCTCAAAATGGGGATGTTACTGGAGCTGCTCGAGCAAATCGATGAACAATGGGAGGACAGTGACAGTGACAGAGACACAAATATAGTACACTGAATACTATTTTCTTTAGATTTTTACAATATATATTATTCATTTCATTTTTTTTACTGAGTTCTTAATTTGTCTTGCTTTCATAGAAGTTATATTCTGGAGAACAGAAAAATGGTAATGATAAGATTAAATAAGAGTATTATTTGTGGTGTCAGGTAATGAAAAAGAGAAAAACAAAAGGGTAATTATTACTCATGGAGGAGTTGCATCTTTTCTGAGGTGATACCTAGCAGTGCTCAGGGCTTAATTCTAGCTTTGCGCTCAGGGATCATTCTTGGTAGTGTTCAGAGGTGATATGGAGCAAGGGATCAAATCCAATTGGCCATATGCAAGGCAAGCCTAGCTCTCCAGCCTCTAGGTTGTGATTTTAAAGGTGTGGAGGCATTTAAATTTACTTACTTCCTTAAATTAAAATAATTGTTCAGTGTGTGCAATTTTACGTATTATAAAAAAATATATAGTTTATTCAAATTTCTCAGATTAGTAAATAACTTCTTACTTTAATATGATACTCATTTAGAAAGATTCAAGTTTGTAATATGTGTTCTTTTTAAAATTATAAGTAGAACATTTCTTTGTATGTTATAAAGATATAAAATGGAAGTTGAGCCAGGGGTAACATCTGGTATTATACCTCTTTTGTAAATAATTTTTTATTTTAAAACTACTATTTCCATTCTTTTGCCAAAATGTTTCACTGGTCTTTTTTGCTAAAATCATGAAACCGAGTGTTTATAGCACAGTATATGTAACCAGCAAAATCCCAAATTCTCACCATATTATTTTTACAAGAAGTCCATTTAGCTCTGATTTAAAAGTTCAAAATGAAAACACGTGTCTGTGTTTAGTGTTAAAAATTACATTCTATTGGCAAAAAAGCACATGAGAAAATGCTCTACATCATTAATCATCAGGGAGATGCAGATCAAAACCACAATGAGATACCATCTCACACCTCAGAGACTGGCCCACATTCAAAAGAGCAAAAGCAACCGATGCTGGCGTGGATGTGGCGAGAAAGGGACACTCCTTCACTGTTGGTGGGAATGTCCACTGGTTCAGCCCTTCTGGAAAACAGTATGGACGATTCTCAAAAAATTAGAAATTGAGCTCCCATTTGACCCAGCAATACCACTCCTGGGAATATATCCCAGAGAGGCAAAAATGTATAGTCGAAGTGACATCTGCACTTGTTTGTTCATTGCAGCACTCTTTACAATAGCCAGAAACTGGAAGAAACCTGAATGCCCAAGAACAGATGACTGGTTAAAGAAACTTTGGTACATCTACACAATGGAGTACTATGTAGCTGTTAGAAAAGATGAAGTCATGAAATTTACAAACAAGTGGTACAATATGGAAAGTATCATGCTAAGCGAAATGAGTCAGAAAGAGAGGGATAGACATAGAAAGATTGCATTCATCTGGGGGATATAAAGTAACAAAGTATGAGATTAATACCCAAGAATAGCTGAGATCAGCACCAGGAGGATTACTCCATAACTTAGAGGCCAGCCGGGTATCCTAGAGGAAAGGGCAGCTCAGACAGAGAAGGGAACACCAAATAAAGGGTGTTTGGAGGATCCTACCAGGAGGGGAGATGCATGTCGAAAGTAGACTATGGACTGAACATGTTTGCCACTCAATGCCTCTTTTGCAGACCACAACACCCAAAAGGAGAGAGAACACAGGGGATTGCCTTGCCACAGAGGCAGGGGGGATGGGGGGATGGGGGTGGGGGGATATTATCCATGGTGGTGGAAAATGGGCACTGGTGGAGGGATGGGTATCTGATCATTGTATAATCGAAACCCAAGCACAAAAAATTGTAAATCTACAACTGTAAAAAAAAAAAGAAAGAAACAAAAAAAAAATTAAAAAATAAAAAATAAATTTAAAAAAATTACATTCTATGACTATCAGTTATCAGAAAAAACAAAAAATATAGATATTTTCTTGTAGGGCATTCTTTTGAACCTCATGCCTAAGGTTACTCTCTAATAAATTCTAAGTATATTCCAT